TGAAACATTTTTAAATCTCGCTAAACTCATAGTTTAAATGCCAAAGTAAAGCGTGATAGAAATACATATGCAAGCTAGCATAAGTTATCGAAATTTGAAAAGAAAAATATTATATTTCACTGTCAGTGAAGTTAAGCATAATTGTGCTTATTCTTAGTTGCCCAAACGGCATTTCAATGGGATATTTGCAAGTGACGTTGGGTATCTCGATCCTGATGAGTTGTTGAAACGTGGCATTTGTTTACGTTAGCAACTGTTCTTTCCAGTTTGATTAGAGTAATCCAAGCCCGTCTAGTATCAATTCTCTTAAATGATGCATTCAATATCCTTTCCCAGAGATTGTCTTACAAAGAATTCGATTCTTTACTTTACACAAAGATAACTACGAAGCCATATAAAACATAAATTAACTAATTTTGCATTGAAGTTACCAGGAGACAAAACAAAAATTTATCATAGTTACGATAAAATACAAAAACAAACAATAAATCTACTTTAAGTAGACGAGAAAGAATATATTTCAACTAATTCGATGTGCAATACTGAGCTGTATTTAATAAACTTCACGTTAATTAATATTGTAACATCTTGGACAGCTGACCCCCGAGTACATTCCCCTCTGGCATCCGGTGTCTCCCCACGAACTCGATGCACCTGCGAAAAAGAGGAAGGAGAAAGACTGGACTCTGTAACACAGCCGACGGGCAGTCTGGTGAGACGAAGCATCATGAGCGGATCTTGTGCCGTCTCGATTTGAGAACTTTTTATTTCATAATTTTGTGTTCGGTAGAAGTGATGATAATTGTAAACAACGGTGCATATAATTGTAATACAACCTTGTACATACAATATTTACTCAGAAAAAGTTATTAAGAGATTGTTTGTTTTTATAAGAGTTTTAGTTCACTCTGAACAAGTAACGAAATCGTTACAATATTCTAACCTATATGGAGAAACTTAATTCAACTTAAATCCGCCATTTTGATTATTAACTATCAGCTGGTGCTGACGCCATAGGTCACATGTGTGGGTATCCATGATCTTCTTGTTCGTGAAGTGTGCAATTACCCAATTACAAGGCTTTTAAATTTACTAAATTTTAAAACATTTAAATACCATTTTTTAATACTAATAATTATTTGTTTGCAATTTTTTTTAGCACGGAATTTGAATTCTCAAACTTGATATTATTAACCTTCAAATGAAAATCTATATATATATATTTCTCTTACACGGTGACAAAAAATGCCTCATTACAACTCCCCGAATGGCAACGCTAGAAAATCGACCTGTGATTGCCGCTAAAAATGTCACATGCCAAATTTAGCTGAGATGGCTCAACGTATAGCGCTTTTAAAAACGGAAACTGAAATAACCAGAGAAAGCATAAGCTAGGCAGAAGTGAGTAGTCTTTGTCGATAGATCTCTATTTTAGTATTTTGTCGAAAGCGCTTTTTTCACGAATTTATATATTACGAATTTATTTCACGATTTTTGATTTAGATCACGAATTTATTTGTTCTACTAGATTTATTTGTTTATGCAGTTTTTTCCATTGCATTTCACTCACTCAATTTTTAATAGATTTAATTACAGCCAAAATTGTAATCTTTTTAAGGAGGTATCAGGTTTAGAAATTTTATCTTAAGATTTTATACTATAGCACATTTCTAATAGGTTTAACGAATTATGTCCTTTATTTGAATTCAAATTTATTTTAATGACTTAGTATTTACTAAAAAGATGTAATTTTTTTACATGGCGAGGGTAGCTTCTTCCANGATTTGAATGATTGTTTTGAATTCTTAGAATTTTGTGCATTTGCAATGTACCTAAGTTAGTAGCGAGCGAAGCAAACCATATAAGATTGCGTAGCAGTATTAAGAACTACTAGTATTAAGAAAGCCTACTAGTATTAAGAAATGTTTTAATGGCAAAAATCATTCGCCTAGTCTTAAAGAAAGTTCAATATAACTAGTTGACCAAAGAAAGTCCAATTTAATTACCAGTTGAACGGGTCAAATTAATGTTAAGTCCACTTTTAACTTCTAAACGTTAATGCTCATTTAATTGCTGATGCTACCTTTAAGTTCTTCAACAGCGAATTAAATCAAAGTTACTTTCTTACATTTATTTTTTGCTTTATACATAAAATGTATTGTTCACTGTTCTGTATCCATGAAGAATTTTAGCCCAAAAAGATTGCAAAAATTAAAATCAGTTCCGTTTCGACATGAAAAAAACTTATAAATGAAATTCACTTGCTGGCATAGTTACTAAACGCAAATAAACTCAGTTTGATTTTGACCACTTTGATTTTTTAGTCATCAATGGCATCATTTAGATAATTAGCACATTTGTCTTTTTTTTTTAAATACTAGCATTTGTTGTCCTAAACATTTTACTAAAAACAATACCACGAAACCATACAAATGTGTAAAAAATAAAAATCAAATCCCCTCTCACTTGAACAAAACGATCGTTTATAATTATTTTATTAATTATCAGACAAAATTTACATATTGTCTTGTTTTTTGACTGTACGATTTTAAATCTTGAAATTCTTGAAATTCTACTTATTAAAAAAAAAGGATCAGCTATTAATTACAATTACATATTATTAATTATTTCATGATGCTAATTATAATATATTAATTATTTGCTGGTTATAATCATTACAGAATGATCAAAGTTTTAAAAATTGTTTTATGACTCGATGAAATATGTTTCATGATGATCGCAGTTTTGAAATTATCCAAACAAAGGCGATAATAAAATCGTTCATTTCATTGTCTAATTTAGGGACTCTACCTAACATACGCACTATAATTATAATACTACAAGATGCTAATTATGACAAACATATTAATTATTTGCTGGTTATAATCATTATAGAATGATCAAAGTTTTAAAAATTGTTTTATGACTCGATGAAATATGTTTCATGATGATCGCAGTTTTGAAATTTTCCAAACAAAGGCGATAATAAAATCGCTCATTTCATTGTCTAATTTAGGGACTCTATCTAACATACGCACTATAATTATAGTATTACATGATGCTAATTATAATATATTAATTATTTGCTGGTTATAATCATTAAAAATGTCAGGATAAATAAAGCGTTGGAAATTGTTTTATGACTTAGCCTAATCCTTGCTATGGCAATACTATAATCATATTATTTAGGAAATACAATACGCTTTTATTGTTAAATTATGCATCGTATATAATAGAAGAAATGTTTTTTTTACTAGCATTTTAGAAATTGTGCTTTGGCTATTTCATTCATGAAAGCTTTGGTGTGATAAGCTAAAAAGGAGTAAAAGAGAGAGAAAAAAAGTAGTTACAAATTAGTAACTAAAAATAATATCGTGTATTGTTTTTATTGTAAAATGTCATTCCAGAAGAAAATCAAAACTAAATTATAAGCCTTCAATAAGCCAGACACAATTGAAGAGTTTCTTTCTCTTAAGTTATTATTTTAACTATAGAAATTATGTTATCCTTATTTAAACATTCATTCTGTTCCTGAATAATTGGCATGTTGCAATAATAGCACACGAAAATGATTTATTTACTAAGAATAATTTGATCAAAATATGTTTTTTCCTGACAGTTTCACTTATTGTATAGCTACAAAACGTCTGCATGCATTTGATTTGGTTTTTGCCCGTGTTTGCCACCAAACTTTAGCGCTTTTTTAAAAGCACGTTTTTTTAAAATCCACCAATGAATGATTCAACTAAACTGATGTGAAGAATGATGAAACTAACGTTTTCGAAAAGGCAAAAAATAATTAACGACGGAGAAATATTCTCTATTTCTTAATGAACCACTCATTAAAGAACTCTAAGATCGATTAAATATCGATTTAATCGATTATCGATTAAATAGTAAAAATCTATTAAATATTGTAGCAACCTGAACTTTAGAACTTAAAACTCTATATTACCCAAGTAAAATTTAGAAAAATGTTCAATAACGATAAACGCATTCCATAAATAACGCCTTATTTATCGGTTACACAGCAAATTCTTGGGTCAATAAAATTTCAAGGACTAAATTCAATCTCTCAGTTATATAAAGTCGTTTTTGTGTCTAGCCGTTAAACAGAAATATTTCAAGTCGTTATGATGTTAGAAAATATGGAAAACAGCTTTTTAAGGAAAGTAAATTCTTTGTATGAAATTGAATAATAAATTTAGAAGAAAAAATTCACTCAATCGGTCTATTTTATAGCGCACTCCGGTAAAAATTCACTTCAGGGTGCCCCTTGGCGAAATTGGCGACTGATGTTTGGCGCCATTCTTGTTTGCCCGGAACATCGTGGTAACAGGAATGGCTGCCAAAATATAATGATATTTCAATAAAACATCGGTCAAAACTTTATAAAATTGCAATGAACCCGATATGAGCAAAATTAATAAATCCAATAAAATGCATTTTGAATCGAAACAAAAATTAGTGGAGTAAGCACAGAAAGAAAAGGAAAAAAAACTACTCACTTTTTCGTTAAGCTTGAATATCCTCTGATTTAGGTGCACCGAATTCTCTAATGGCGGTTAGATACTGTCTAAATTTATCATGAATAGAATCTGTGTACCTCCATCGCCACATAAATTCTGCGAAATACGAATTGAAAATTGCGTCTGTGGTACCTTACTGGCGATGAAATTTTTTTCTAAAGTCCCAATTTATGACTGCCCACATACCTTCGATCCTATTGACCAAAAGCGAAAGTAACCTTACCAGCCGGTATCCAACTTTGAACTAACGGATCTCTGAAATCACATATACCGTTGAACATTTAAAAATATCACTAAAATCTAAACCAGTCAGAATCACGATTGGGTTTCAACATCGCCCAGCTTGGCGATCAACCGCGATCACAACTTGGCGAGAATCTAGGGGCACCCTCAAATATAGTCTACCCGCGCACTCCTATCAAAATGAAGGCATTGGTATATTGTCTGGAAAGAAACAAAGCATTGCAATACTTACAAGCATGGATTTCTGCACTCTTCTTTGCAATTAGTTTGCAATTTTTCGGAAATGAATATATTATCTGCAAAAAAAAAAAATAAATAATAAATAAATAAATAGATTTCGAAGTTTTCTAGTTATAAATAAAAAATTTACCTTAAAATTAGTCTGATGTGAAAAAATAATTTACGTACCAGTTTGTTTAAAAATCTTAAAGATACTCTAGAGAATGACACATTCATCTATATTCTGTTGGGAGAAAATATTTCTTATCTAGAGTAAGTGCGCTGTATAATATTAGATGTTAGTTATTTATCTTCCAATAGAAAATAACACCAACCAAGGCAATAACCACGAATTGAAAGAAATTTAACAGTTGCATTTTGAAATGGTTTTTTGTGATTTAAGGTTACCTCTGGAATGTAATGTAAACTGCAATTAATGATCTTATTACCATCTACTGTGTTAATAAATGAATAAAATGCCATGTTAAATATAAATGAAATATTTTTAAAAAATGACAAATTTCAGCGTCTTACCTGAAGTAAAACTTTCTCTAATCGATTACTGACTCCAAACTGCAGGCCTGAAATGCCTCGCATCGCATAATTTATTTTCTCTCTTGTTATTTGTTCCCTTTTGCTTATTTCTTAAGTGAGGTAATCTTTCGAAACAAATATCAGAAGAAATAAAATAAATCCTATTCATATCAAAGATTTTAATTGATTTCAATTGTTATAGAGAAACGTTAAACATTTTATTTTGGAATGAAGGGGAAGAAAATTGTTCAAAAATCTTACAATAAGTGACAGATTTCTAGACTAGTCTCGAAAGAATTTGCAACTAGACTATAATCGAATGTCTAGGCAAAATGCTTGAACTGCTTTTCTAAGGGAGAATAATGCCTTGGAGACAGTATGGCTCTCACACTTAAAAGTTAAGTAGTTAAACAACTAAAGTTTACTAAAAAAAAAAAAGAAAACTATATGTTTGATCCAAATTTTCTTTTGGAAGACCGACGCAAGTAACTTGCAAAAGCAAAGAGAAATTTTGTTGGGAATAATTCGATTTTGCAACTAAGCACCATCAAGTCATACCACGGACAATCACTTTTTGTTGCCTGATCCTATCGCCAACGTGTTTCTTGCCAAACTTTTTTCCTGAATTAACAAACTTGTTTTCAGATTTTGGCCAACACTCTAATACAGTACTCTTCTTTTAAACAGAGTTCGTAAGGTCCTCAAAATACTGAAATGGTAGCAGAAAAATGAAGAAGATAAAATGTATTTCACACCACAATATTCAATTTCATTAAATCGAAATTTCTGCTTTTAAAATTTTAAATTTAAATATAACTTCATAATATAGTATTATGGTATAAGCCAAGCGACTTCTGGTGCGAATTTTTGAACGCACGCTTTTATTATCATATTTTTTGAAGCCAATGAAGTTTTTTTTGCATCAGTTTCTATGGATTATTCATTTAGTAAAACAGTGTATTAAATTAATTCAAGTAATATTGAAATGAGTTTTATATTAGATAATTACATAGGCTCTTTGTTGAAAAAAATAATAATTAGTCACAGTTTTCAAAAAAATCAATTTCAGTGCAAATTTTTCACTGATAGATTTAAGATCATTTTCTTTAAAAACGTCGAAAATTCCGTCTACAAGTAAAATTTCAAAAATCAAATGAGACAGTTATTTCTTTCAAGTTAAAATTTCCATCCTGCTTGAAATTTGTTTGAAAGTATATTTTTTATTTTTATTTATCGTTTCTAAAAAGTATTCTAGATATAATTCGGGATATACTTTAGGCGTATTTCGATAGTGTTTATTTTTTTCTTCTTAAAATTATTCAAGCTATATGATCTAATACACTTATAGTATAATAGTAAACGAGCTTCCAACGCATTTACTTATCCTTGATGACACTATCAACAAATTAATAAAGGAGGTTAAATAAATATTAACAGTTCCATCGTTTTAGTCTTCAAGCAATAAAATACTTCGTTCAAATTGATTTTAATTCTTAGATTAACGAAATTAATCTAAATGTTATTTGGAGCAATAGCATTTTAATATACAAGAAAATATAAGAAAAATTTGTATCTATACTTTTACCGTCTAGCTGCGTAATTTTTTTTAATTAAAATAGCTTAAAAAAAATTTCGTAGTTTTTATTACGTATTTTTAAATCTACATATAGAGTTAAAATATTGAAAGAAAAAATTTTCAAAAGAGTTTTTTCCTTTTTAATACAGAATAAGACCATAAAAAAATTGTAGCAAAATTTTGATAATTAATCATGGTTAAATTATGATTGATTTCTTGAAATACAAAGGTCAGACTTATATATTAAGGAAATTATGCAAAATACTTACAAAATATTTATTAGAAATGAAGTTTAGAACGATAAAGTTCGAAACAGGACTCAATGCAAAATCCTACCATGCAATCTTCGCACCGGATTTGTGTTTCTTTGCAATTTTTCCTTTCATGTTTTGTGTTGTGTAAAAAGCAACAAACATCACACATTGAAAAGAGTGCGTAAAATGTTACAAAATAGACTTGCAAATTTCCCAGAAATATCTGTTATTCCAGACTGCCATCTGTTAGTCCAGGTTTGAGAAAAAAAATTAAAAATCACAGAAAAGACGAAATGAAACCATGGACTAGAAAATAGCGGGTTGCAAAGTTAAATAGACTGAAAAGACGACTGACCAGACGACTTAGAAAGAAACATCGCATTTTATAAATAAAAAAAAACGATATCAAATCAAAACAACGTGAAATCATGAATGAAACTTAAGCTACGCTTGCGTAAGGCAAGTTCCTTGTTAGTTTTCAACATTTAGACACTAATCGCTCAATTAAATATTTTTCTCTCATTGTCACCAAAATATTTTTTTAAAAGTAACAAATTTTAATTTTCCGGCTTGCTAATTTATAAAAACAACTGAAACTTGATTACATAGATTAATTAATAGGGTTTAAAAGTGTATGACTCTTAACTCAAAATTTTTTTCGTTCATCATTATATTAAGCAATAAAAATAGTAAATAATTGAATAATTGTTAAAAATCATTTTTACGTGAAATTTTTTTTGGGTGAATAAGTTTCATTAGCGGTTACATATACAGGGTGTTCATAAAGTCCCGGACCCATTTTGATGTTTTATAACTCATAAAATAGTAAAGATAGATTAAAATTAATAATATAAATGGTTGGATAGACTCAAAAAGTTTCATGACCCTTGTCAATGAACTCCCACGTGTGCCCCCTTCGTCGCACGGAGAATATCAAGTCGATAGTCAATTTCACGCCAGGTAGCGGCAAGCATGTCGGCATCCACAGAGGCTTATGCGGTTGTAATTCTGGCTTTTAGGTCATCAATGTTCGACACGATCCTCCTGTAAACATTGTCCTTTATAAATCCCCAAAGAAAAAAGTCCAGCGGCGTTATATCAGGTGATCTGGGTGGCCAAGGAATTGGACTTCCTCGCCCAATCCATCTTCCGGAAAAATGATCATTCAAAGAACTACGATGATACCCCAATAAGGTGGTGCACCATCTTGTTGCAAAAAGACATGTGGCTGAAGCTCTTCTAGTTGTGGAAATACGAAGTTTTCCAACATTTCTAAGTATACGACTGATGAGACCGTCTTTTCTGTAAAAAAGAAAGGCCCAATGACTCAGTCGTGCATTAGTCCACACCACACATTAACGTTTGGGGAATCCCTTTTTTTCTCACGGTATTTATGGGGGTTTTCAGATCGATCCCCATATGTGCACATTATGGCGATTAACAATGCCAGAAACATGAAAGGATGCTTCGTCGGAGAACATTATGCTCTTCAGAAAATCAGCAGCATCTTCTATCCTTCCTGTTATATCTGTTGCAAACGTCATCCTCCTAGGCCTATCGTCCGGTTCCAAACCTTGAACAATTTGAACATTGTATGCATGCAGTCTTAATTGTTTCTTAATAACCTTGTACACCGTCGAAATTGGCATATCCAATTCTCCTGCCGCTGATGTCACAGATCTTCTAGGAGTGTCTAAAAATGTCTGTCTGACACGCTCAACGTCAAAATCACTAGTGCAGGGACGTCCGAAACGTTTCTTATCTGCGATACGTCCAGTTTCTAGAAAATTCTCTTTCCTCCTCAAGATGCTACTTTTGGATGAAGGATCTTTTTGGTAAATTCTTCTGCAATTTCTCTGTGCTTGTACTATCGATTTCGTTTCTATGAACCACCATAAAATCTGTGGTGTATTAATAAGCAGACGATATTTAGAAAAGTACAGATATTCAGACTGGGAAATGAAATTATCTAAAATTAACCACACGCGCAAACGATATCTAGAAAAGTAAAGATATTCAAACCTGAAAAGGAAAATATATGAGTTATTCCATCCATAAATGCCTTAAGTTTGTTTATATCTTCATTATTTTATGAGTTATTAAACATCAAAATTAGTCCGGGAATTTATAAACACCCTGTATTATTATAATTTTTCGGCTTAACATTTTAATTTTTCAAACGGGAACAAATATCATAAATCATGCGTGATATACATTGACTTCTATACATACATTTATCGCAGATCCGTTCTCTGTGAGGGTAGGATATGAAATAAGGAATGCATAAGTCCTCCTTCTTCAAGCTCTGAATAATACAGGATTGAAAACAGTCCTGTAAGAAAGAGAGAAAGCAACCTCAAAAGATTTGAAAATGTTGAAGGAACTTTGAAGGATAAAAAAAATATTTGAATATCACAAGTTAATGAAAAAAGGAAGTCTTGAAAAATGTGTTGTCGACTGATTGAATAATTGTGTACTATGTAAGCAGTCATTTTAGAATGTGCCAAGTCAATTGTATTAATCAGCTTCACACTTTATTGCAATGAGCCAAAAAAACCCAACATTAAGCCTCTTCTTGATGCTGATTACACATAACAACAATAAATGAAGATGATGGGGGTATGCTAAACTGATTCCGAGATCTCCTCAGAGCGACCCATCTTCACAGAGTTATAAACTCTCGGAAAGAACCGATTTTTTCAGGTTATTGATTTATCAAAACTTAAGTAATCTTCAAAATTCAACAGATCCATTTGTCAAATTTGTGAGAACTGGGCATAAACCGTTCCTCCCCCTCCTTTATCTTCAAATGTTATTTTTAATGCCTTTGTTACAGTATTGCGGGGTCAAAATTAAATCTGAAGAGGATTTAACACCAGTCTTTACAGGTACTATCGGAGAGTCATGGGTTTGGGGAAGATACATTTAATACACTTTAAAACAAAGAAAAATTACTACTCAAGTTTTTGTATAAATTATAGTTAGGACGAGCTTTCTAATGCAAAACATATAATGTCAGTCTTCAGAGAGCAAATTTTTAAAATTAAGAATAATAGTTTATCGTTGCATGAAATTATGCTTTTTTGCAAACAATATGCTATTTTCAGTACCCTGGGATTATCCTGCCAACGATCGCGAAAATGCACCATCATAATGAAAAGCAATTTCCAAGCACTTTAAATTTATCAAAAAATAATAATAAAATAATGTCAGTGTAAAAATAATCAAAACAAAGAAAGTATCTACATTTTTTTATAATTACACATTGAATTATTCTTGAATCTAACCATGTATGTTATTATAAATCATTTCGGAGGCCAAAAATTCTTGATAGCTTTTAAAGCGAAAAAAAACCGCCACATAAGTTCGTTTAAATACGAATCCTATAGTTTTCGGGTCAAACTAGCTCGCGTAGTGAAAGATAACACAGTAAATATGATAGAATTTGATGGTATGGATGGTGTTTTTAATATAAATGTGAGCAACAACAGTTCTTGACCTGCTCTACTTCCGGTTAGAAAGTATACAACTGCTTACTACAGCTTATTCTGCTAGACGATATTTTCAAACAGACAATTTTGTTTTTAATAAAAGAAATAAATTATATTATTTCTGAGCTCAAATCTGCTGTACTTTATGGGATATTAATAATATTAAGTAATTCTGGTGAGTTTAAAATGAGACTTGTTTTAGTTATTTAGAGATGTATTGTTAAAAAAGGTGACAGTGTCGCTAGCTTGATTTAGAAATAACTCGCTTTTTTTGCAGTTCTTATTTGGCCTCTTCTTACTTGTTTATTACAGTTTGATTTCCTGGCGGACAATCATACGTTAGTGTTAGCATATTGTCCGAGCAGGGATATTAAGCTCATTTTACAAATTATCACTTACGTTTAAATTTTGAAGTTGGTATATTGTAAACAAGGTTATAAGTGTTTTATAACGATTCTTTTTTCAAATGACAATTCGTATTGGTATATCACCTGATGAAAATTATCGGCAAAGGAACCGGCAAGTTAATTGTAAGCACATCGTATCCTCTACTTTCAACAAAAATTGCTCGAAAATCCTCGTGTGATATAGAAATCGGTAGACGGAAAAAAAGGTCCCGGAAAAAAAGGTACGGAAAAAAAGGTCCCGGTAAAAAAGGTACGGAATAAAAGGTCCCGGTCAAAAAGGTCCCGGGAAAAAAAGGTACGGAAAAAAGGGTCCCTGGAAAAAAAGGTCCCGGTAAAAAAAGGTACCTCCATAGGGAAAATCTGTAGGTGAACCCCCTCTCGCTTTTTGGGCAGCATGAATGCTTCTCGCTGTTTCAATGAATATTCTTTTTATCTGTAATAATTCAGATTAGATCATTGAGGTAAGGAGAAGGGTAAGGGGGGGGGACTTATGGGCAGGTTGTATTACGCTTTTTTTAAAAATTTTATTTCATTTATTTATTCTTCTTTGATTATTTTTTAAAGCGGGAAGATACTATTTAAATTTTTCAATAATGTTTAACTTTTTTTTGTAATTTTTTAAAGTGAAAATGTGTTATTTTCTATTTTAAATTATATTTTGTGAAGAAGTTGCTAATGTGAGGCTTAAAGTAGCCAATCGGGAAAGTTGGGAGGATTTATGTGTTGGATGTTTATTCGTGATTGGAGGTGAAAGTATTGGTCCTTTTTAATTAGTTGAAAACGCGCGACACGGAAAAAAAACATGCACGGAACAGCAGAAAGCGCATCAATCTAATCTTCTCATTTCAAATATTTTCCCCCACAGAATTTTCAATACACAGGTACCTTTTTTACCGGGACCTTTTATTCCGGACCTTTTTTTCCGGGACCTTTTTTTCCGGTACCTTTTTTTCCTGGAACCATAGAAATCACAGTAGCCTAAATGACCAGCAAATGTTTCTTTCCTCAGCAAGAAAAATTGCCTATAAATAAAAGCAACTCACACTCGGATTAATCAGATGATTTGTTTTTATGACGTTTCGATTCAACGTGATGAAGTTTACAAATGTAAATAAAAATGGCGCGAACGTTGATGAAGAGGATGATCGGATGAAATTTTGAATTAATTCATTGAATTAATTAAATTAATACATAAAATTAAACGAATATCATTTCTAGAGGGTCTGTGGTTTACTTTTATTTCCTTTACAAACATCGTTGGGATATTATGAGATAATAGCATCACATTAAAAAATAATATTGGCCAAAAGCTGAGATAAATAGCAAACAATGGCAACTATTACGAGCAACCGTTCGGGCAATTAAGCAACCCTATCGGCTACTCAGAACTGTGAAATTACCCTTAGAGTGAACGATAGAGTTGAGGTTCCGCTTACGGTTGCTATTATTTTTCTCACGTGAAATATCCGTATTTCGCCTTGAAATGACAGGTCTTCAAAAGGCAATTCTTATAACAATTCTTCTTTTAAACACAAATAATAAATCGAGTAACGGATACACGTATACAAGAAATACTACTAAAGAAAGTATCATAACACAATGTTCACGTTGTAAGCCAAATGGCTTCAAAACACACCAAAAACAGTAACACGGAAGTATATGCAGTCAAGAGCTTGCTGCCCTCCCTAGTGTCGAAAACACCATCCATTGGTGCGGAAGGTTCCTCTTGGCGATAATATCAGGTTTGGCGAAAATGGAGGACGGGATAATCCCGAAGTACGAAGATGATCGACGGGTAAATACCAAAGTACCCTATTTTCTTAGCTACAGTAACAGTTATTCATAACCGTTAGGTCAAGTTTAATCTATCGCCCTCTATGCTTATTCTGCAAAATGTCAATATGGAGAAATGGCACAGTTTTGTGTTTGTGGTTGATTTTTTTAAAAATATTTATTAACTCACTACAATGCTGTAATACCTGGGTTCAAAAAAATTTACATAAATAAAAATGAGACATTGATTTTGCTAATTTTCCCCTAGGTGGAAAAATTTACCATAAAGTTTAGTATAATGTTTGCGATTGCCATAATGTTTACGATTTCCTTAACAACAGACATGTCTGTTATGATTTTAATGATCAATTTGTTATTTTACCAACTAATATTGGTGTTCCACAGGGATCATCCCTGGGACCAATTTTATGGCTAATTTTAATTGATTCTCTTTTAACTAGTTTTGATTTTAACGATTGCAAACTACTGGCCTTTGCTGATGACGTCTTCCTTTTAATGAAGCACACCATTCTTTATCGTCTCGATAAGCTGGGGACCGAAATTATTCAAAATATGGTAAATTGGGCCGGAAGTCACAAATTAAAATTCTCACCCGACAAGACAAAACTTATAACCTTCCCCAAAGACGCGAAATGTATTAAGAGAACACCTCGCTTAAAAATGGAGGGGACCAGGACGGCCTATGTAAGATGCGGCCTATGTAAGGACACTGAAATACCTTGGTGTGGTGCTCGATCCTCGGCTGAGCTGGATCCCACACCTGGAGTATCTAAGAACAGATATCTTCACGTTCTATGACAGACTAAAACAGTTCAGTAGAGCCACATGGGGACTTAGTCCGAATATCTTGAAATTGATATATCTGCAGGCTATTGAAAAGAAAATCATTTATGGTGCCTCCGTGTGGTATAAGAATAAAGTTAAAATAAACCAGAATCTCCTAACTATCCAAAGAATTCCATTGCTCAACATCACTAAATGCTATTCTACAACTAGCACGGAGGCACTACAAATACTTGCAGGAGTCATACCTATTGACTTAAAAATTAGAGCAACTATTTCGATTAAACGACATACCTGGTCACCAGAGGAATTTAACGACAGCGATTATCAAACAGATGAACTTAAAAATTATATCCCTTACTCAGTCCCTGTGTATGACCCTACGAAGTTAAAGATCGTTAGTAGGGGTTTCGGCTCACCGAGGGGCGTTGGCTACGAGTTCTACACTGATGGCAGTAAGAAACAGGTGACCAATGAAAGCACAGGCGCTAATGAAGATCGGGTGGGTTGTGGTTTCTTGGTGAAACTGGATAACCATACTATTTACGAACAGACCGCACGTTTAAATAATGAGTGTAGTATCTACTCCGCCGAACTTACGGCAATCAAATTGGCTACCCTTTGGGCAAACAATAACAATATTGAACAATACACTATCTTTTCTGACTCAAAGTCCTCGTTGCAGGCCCTTGAAAACCCAACCCCAACAGATCCTCTTGTAGAAGAAATTAAGGAAATTGTTCAAAACAAACAATGCTTATTCAATTGGATTAAAGCCCACTCGGGGGAGCCTGGCAACGAGGAAGCAGATTTTTTAGCCAAAAAGGGCACCTTATTGGACGGGGTGGACTTTCACTACACCATAACAAAACCCCAGGTCAAACATAGACAGAGGCAGGTCAGTAGGATTTTATGGCAGGACAGGTGGAGCAGCTCTGCAAACGGGAGACACACACACTATTTGATACCTACAGTTAACGAATGTTTTTTATCCAGCGATTTTTACTTTAATCAGTTTTTAACTTCCCATGGTGTATTTGGCGATCACCAAGCTAGGATGTTTCAAAAATCCTCCGCGTGCAAATATTGCGGTCACTATCAGACTATTAAACATCTGATGCTTGACTGTCAAAAATTTGCAACCATTAGGGGAAATAGTTTTGACAGAAGAGGCGACATAAGATCTTGGTGCAGGACTAATAAACAGAGGCAAATTATTAAAAACATCATTAAACGCACCCTGGAGGACGCACTCGCCCCTGATGACATTTTGGATCCGCTCTACACGAATTAATCTCAGTCCCGGTTGTTGGGCTGCCCGCCTGTTCGCTTCCCGTTATTTTGACAACGTTTTGTTGTTTTATCTATCTCATTCGCTTTTTAATTCTGTTTTAATCTATTTATTCACTACATTGTGCTTTTTAATTGGCTTATTTACATTGCCTTTCCTTGCTTTGCAAATTTTAGCGTCTCCTTTTAATTGTATTTGATAATTGTTTGTTTTACCACTTTACTCTTGGAGCATTTTAATTATTTTACTGCTGTTGCCATCAGACTCTGTAACGTTTGCATAATGTTACTCTGTAATGTTACTTTTTTGTATTTTATGTACTTTTTTGTTTTCTTGATTTTAATAAACATTTACCCGTATGCCCTAAATTGGGGCAGGTCGGGGTAAATATTTCATAAAGTTTAGTAACGTTTGGGCCTTTCTAAAGCCCAGATTCATGGCAAGATGGTATTTAGTTTTGTGTTGGCGGAAGAGCCATGTTAACACAACATCACTCACGAAAGCGAGGGTCAACCTTCTTCCATCAAAAGGTACCGCAACATAATATGACTTCGATTGAGTACCTGTCCGGTGGGAGGACTAGAATATGACAGATAATGGCGAGAGAAATGCAGATGTCGTCTTAAGTTTAAACTTAAACAATAATTACTATCTAAATTTAGATTTAGTTACAGATCAAACAAAAAATTAAGGCAAATAAAGATTAGGGGTGGCATCACTCATTGCCCCTTCTCAGGGAGTACTCACGATTAAAAGACCGAGATGACTATTAACAGCAATAATTTTATCTAAAAAATTTAAGTTGGAGGCTAAGGGTGAATTCTAATAATAAGCATGTTTATACACTAGTAAATTGGTATTTAATATCTGTAGTGGTAGTTACGCCACAAAACATTCAAATATCATAGCGTGTTTCGCATAATGAAACGAAAATAAGCAGAGCCATCTACTAATGTTGTGAGAGCCGAGAAGCAGCGATTAAATGCTCTATAAATTTTCGTGAGATCAGTGTCGCGTAAATAATTTGTAATGACGTCATCGTTCATAATCTGTAATATTTTATTCATTAGTTTAATACTTATATGAATTCGAATGGCAACAGTTTATGAGTTTATGTTTTTCATGGAGAATGTTAAGAATAGAAGTGGATCCTTTTATAACTTGTAAATATTGTAATAAAGGTTTATAGAAAATTAGTAAGAGTTTTTCGATGATTCTGACATTGTGGTGAAACCCGGACGTAATCGTTTGCATTTGATCGACATTTAAGTCAGATATTTTTATTCTCTTATTTGAAAATTTCTCAAGTTTGGAATTCTAAATGGATCTGCTCATAATGAAAAGAAAGTCGGTAAGAGCTTCTTTTACTCGCTTATATAATATTTTAATTGCGGCTCTCGATAAAACTGAATTAAATTTTGAAGATTTAAAAAGTAAATTATCATCTTTGGAAAGAATTTCTATTGATTTATCGAAATTAGATGAAGATATATGTAACGCCATTTTGACAGAAGTCGTCAAAGCAGACGATTTTGAAAAAGAATACTGTATCATTGAAGAATACAGAGAAAAGTTAGATTCTGTTTGTGTAAAAAGGATTCTTAATTCTCATAAACTGAAAGATAAGAAAGATAATTCGGTTAAAAATGAAAAAACTAAACTTAAGCTTCCGAAAATAGAACTTGTACATATCAGTGGCGAGGTAAAAGATTGGCTGCATTTTTGGGGCCAATTCAGTAGATTACACGAAAATAAATCGACGGACGATGAAGATAAATTTCAATATCTTATTCAATGCGTGACAGTCGAAGGAAGAGCTCGTGAAATAGTGGATAGTTACCCGCCGACGGCCGATAATTGTTGCAAAGTTATTGAGAGTTTGAAATCAAGGTTTGGCCAAGAGGAACTTTTAATTAAATATTATGTTCGGGAACTTTTGGCTCTTGTCGTTAAAAATGCTACAAATTTAAGGAATAAGATGGATATTACACAATTGTACGACAAATTAGAATCGGAAGTGGTCGGGTGATTAAGAAACCTATTAGATATTTAGATGACTGTAAAAAACATTTACTTTTAAGTATAGCGTTGTTATTAAGTATTTACTTATTAGTGTTTCAATGCTTTTATTGGAAATGTTTATTTTTAATCTTAGATATAGTATATAATGCATTTAGTAATTTTATATGTAGTTAAATTTTATATTTATTGCTTGTTTATGCATTTTTAGAAAATGTTCTACTTGATTAAATAATATTTAATCAAGATGGGAGGATGTCGCGTAAAGAATTTGTAATGACGTCATCGTTTATAATCTGTAATATTTTATTCGTTAGTTTAATACTTATATGAATTCGAATGGCAACAGTTTATGAGTTTATGTTTTTCATGGAGAATGCTAAGAATAGAAGTGGATCATTTTAAAACTTGTGAATGTTGTAATAATGGTTTATAGAAAATTAATAAGAGTTTTTCGAATCATCTGACAATCAGTGTTCATTAAAAACAAATTTTATTCCCCTTTATAGAATTTAATTGATAGTTTCTTAGAAAAAAAAAGTTTTTTAGGAATGTTTCAGTTTAAAAACAGTATTTCAGAGTAAGCTGTGGGTGATTACTTTGAATTAAAAAAGCAACTTAAACGCATGGAGACAACTTTATTCAAACTTCGTAAACAAATTTACTTACTTAAACTCTAAAATCAAGAAAGATTCTTTTATTAACAGCCACTAGATTTTAACCTGCGTTTGAAATCTTTTACATTTATGAACTTTTGACAGCCATTAAAAACATATGTGATTTTTTCTTTAAAGTAACGGTATTAAATATCTCACATATAAATTTCATATTTATGCCAAAAATTTATTTGTTAAAATAGCTGAACGTGAATGTCATGTGCTAGGCATAAGATTTTTTATTTCCTTTGTTTCTACTATGCACTGGGAAAAGAAGGAGAATATTTTAAAATATATATTAATCATGCAAAATAGTTAAAAGAGCTTAAAATGTTTCTATGAACACATCTTTCATATTCTTAAAAATGCAATGATAATTAAAGAAAAAAACAAAAGATTAATATTTTTTTTATCGAAAAAAGAAAAAAAGTAATAAAATTATATCTTGAACACGGCTCTGAGGGGACTTTAACGGGATGGAAAGAAAAATACCCAATAAAGAAAACATCTAAAGCAAAATAAAAATACGTTTTTTCTCTATATTTTAGAAGTTTTAAGTGCGAAAGGTTTAAGAGACCCATAACACCGAGCTTTTAAGATAGTGCGGTTAAAATTTGTGTAAAAAGTGGTCGTATACTTATTTTAAGCCATGTTTAAACTAAGCGAACATTAGTTTAAAAAAGAAATTACATTACAAAAGAATCTATATTAGAGACCATGCGAGAGATCCAAATTAAAGAAACTAAATGTCGTTCCTAATCGGATTGACTATGATTGTGCGAGGCATCTTGTATATTGATTGACAACATTTAAAAACACACACACAAAAAAAAGAACATTGATCTTAAAGAAAAACAACAAAAAAGCACAGCGTTTCAAAATATTTTCAAAACCGATCAGCTCTTTTTTTTTATATCTATTGCCATTCTCAGAGTAACTTACTTATCTGGAATAAGTTTAGTGGCGCTAGCGCAACCTACTTGTAGTTAGATTGGTGGCGCTGCATTTTTGCCTACACTGGAGTTGGTATTTGGCGCAACACTAAGACTTGTAACTAAGTATGTTTACAAATGATTTACCTGATATGTGAGAGGTCCACTTCCGTTCTTCTGTCTCCATTCACTCAAGTAATCTTTGCAATGGGTGTCGTAGGGTGACGGTGATGAAGTTCTTTCGAGCTATCACACACAAAATTATATTCAAATTAACTTTATTTCAATATTGCAACACTTTGCTTTGCTCTTTCATTTACAATTTATGTTTATTCAAATTTTTAGTTTTATTTTGAAAATCTAAAACTTCTCTTTTGAATACATGTTTGTTTTAAATAGAATCTGTATACTAAAAATTGTGTAATCATTCTCCATGATAATTTAATGAACTGATTAGACAATTTCAATAAATTCATTTATGAAGATGTTATCTGGTAAGTAGTTTAAACTAGTGTTAATAAAACATATTATTTCATGAATTAGATTATTATTGAATTACAGTTGTTATATAATTAAGAGTTTTTCATAAAATATAAAATTTCACAATATTGCTTAAAAGCAAAAGCACGTTTGAAAAACATAACTTTGATTAATATTTAGGTAGGTACGTCGCACTTTTACTGACTTTATTTATAGGGTTGTACCAATTTAGTTTATCATGAATGGCTAGTCCGAAAGTATTGTGGGATATTCTCCAAGTTATATTATGAATGACCTTTCTTCTTATAACCATAAGTTTGTCTGTGCTGATCGCACATCATTTTTCTATAATAATTTGTTCTTTACAGCTTGGATCATCCACATATCATGTATTTTCAGTAGCGCTAGTATAAACTAAATAAAAGAACATCGGCTTTTGTCTCGTTTGGAAGTTTTTTCAGACAGGAATGTGACGTAAAGGCCTGGTTTCTTAGAACAGGCAGGTCGGGGTANGTGAGCTTGATAGTATACGTCATCGAACGCTCATCTTGAACTACAATTGCCGTCCAACTCAACTGCAGTTGGATTACAGCGTGACGTTAACCACAGAAGCAATGGCGGACAACATCCAACAGCACATTGAAATCAGCCAAGATTTTGATTTTGACATTAAACATAGCTTCTTCATTAAACATAGCACTCTTCATTTAGCTCAGCCATAATATGTTTTTTCTTGGACAAAGTCATTATTTGTTCTCTGAAACACTGGTCGACAATAACAAAATCAATACAGATTCAAAATAAATATTTGTTTACGTTATTAACGCATGCAATGAGAGATAATGTCTGCGTTGGACCGACTGCTCACGCTGAGCTAACAAAAAAGTATTTTTATGGCGTCAGCTCTACGTCAACTTTCCACTGACGCCCAAATAAGGCACTAGTTCTAAGAAACCAGGCCTTGAGCTAACAAACCAGTATTTTGTTGGCGTCAACGGGACGTTGACGCCCAGATAAGGCGCTTGTCCTAAGAAACCAGACCTTAAGGAAGTGATTAATTGTGTCTTGCTTGATCATCTTTGTGATGAATGCAGTCAAAAGCGGGGTTTCTTTCTTGTAAATACCATCACTGATGAAATCTAATGAGTTGCTTCTAAAGACATACTGTTGTTTGTGTGCAAAGTTGATGAAAGGTTGTAATCTGTGAAGTATAATTCTCTCTTTCCAAAATTCGGGAGGAAGTTGATAGTTATTCTTGAGTCAGTGGGGAAAAAAGTATGATTTACGGAGTCTGGAAAGATCTTTAAGCAGGCATTGCACAGTTTATTTGCTTCATCATATTGTCGATTCCGGCAGATTTTCAATTATTTAGTTTTTTGATAAGTTCAGTTTGGTCAACATCGTCAAGGCTATTATTATTCTTAAAAAAATCACCATAGGTATCGTTAGTCATTAAATCTTTATCAGAAGGTCAAGTTGAAATTGATTTTCAATAGTATCAGCGAATATTTCTCCTCATCTCTGTACACGTTTTTATTATCGTGTATAATTGGTTTGTTTACAGTTTTTGCTGTCTTAAGTGCTTTACTCATGCTTCATACAGACTGATATTCATTGCAAAACCCTGCGACTTTGTTTCGCTCGTCTCTAGATTGCTATCATTTTTTTTCTTTATTTCTATTTATTATCACGAGGATTCCTATTATTTGCCGTCTTTTCTTGTAACCAATCAGTTCAACTGTTGCGGGAGTGTCATATAGTTGTGCTTAATAATTCTTGATTTAGTTGCGTCATTATGAACATCTTGGATACCAATAGTTAGGGTACAAATTGCAGTATTGATGTCGTCAATAATACTTAGTGGAGGATTTTCATCACTCTATATGAAGATATTGAAAAACAAGTCCTAGATTTGCCTTTTTAGTGATGGTGAGTGTATACTGTATGATATCCCCAAGTGTTACAACAGGTACATTATCAATGAAAACTCTGTGGTAGTGTAACATCCTATTGGGAGGCTGTTGTAAAAAATAAAAAAAAGTAAGAAAAGTTCGGATGTCTGTGTGGGATGTAAAGGAAGTAAATCGGCTCAGTTGGTGCGATAATAGTTAAGCTTAAGTCCATGATGGGGTCATAAAGTTGTTTAACTCTTTTTGTAACTATCTCTGCAGCCCCACATAGAGATTGTAATCTCAGCCAACGATGCACTTGATATCATTCGGGATAGCATGTCTTTAGTAATTAAATGGTTTGTTATAAGCAGCTGTAATTTTTAAGAACTCATTTTTTATTTTTTGTCGGAGGATTGAAGTATCTTCGAATCCATCGCTACTATACAAGGTAGTATTTAGGCTTTTTTTTGGCAAAAATCGCTGTACCACTTCATTTAAAGTTTTGCCTGTGTGTCTGTTTTGTAAGTATGGTAATTATGAAGGTTTAATTTCTTGCGAGAAGTTGCATACTTAGGCAACATCAAGAATGAAGTTGCTGAATTCCTCGAATTGGTGTTTATATTCCACAGCATAATTCTGATAGGTTCATAATGATGTTTCTTTAGTTCCTCTTGTTATATCTTCTCAACTGCTTTACTAACCATTGGAATTGCGTTCAGTCCACCGATTAAGTTGTTTAAAAAATATCCTTTGGGTCGCTCAATGTTTTCTGCACATGTTTTGTTTCTTGACTGCATCTGCATAGATTTTGTTTCGGAAAACTCTTTCTTGAGGCTCATTGTATCGTATCTTTGTGGTAGGGGAAAATATAACACACCCTCCATAGCTTGCAGGATGGTCAAGTGCACAGTTCGTGGTTTTTCATCTCTAGTTTTTGTGCATGAGGGAAGTCAAATGAGCACTTAACGCATCTTGGTCCGACATAGCTGTCTAGTGATAAACATCTATGGCAATATGCTGGACCGGTTGCAGTTCTCAACCTTGACACTTGCATTTTATCTGAAGGTGAGACTGTAAATTTCTTCGAAGTTACTTCTCTTCTTAATGCCTGGAGGAACATATTTAATTTAATGAACTCATTTGTGCAACGTTTTCGACCTTTAAGCTTTCAGAAGTTAAGTATTTTGCTACATATTCTCAATCATAGTTATTAGGAATTGGTTTAATTCAAATTTCGATAAAGCATTTAAAGATTCCTTGATTTATCGCTTGGAAATATAGTTGCAAGTAAACAATAATTTGCAATTGACGGACTAAAACTGAATGAAATGGATGCAAAATTTCAGAAATTTTTTTACTTAGAAATGATAATAAAATAAAAGCACATAGTCCAACTATTGCTTATTATAAAACAGAATAAAAATTGTTTTATTTAATAACAAATCTGTGTTCTTAACTTGTATTTTACCTAAAGATTATCGATGTGTTTACATTAAATAATTATGGTAAGAATAATGCTTTTATAATTGAAAGAAGTTTATTTTTACATTGAGTTTTGTTTTGGAATAAAAATAATTATGTTCCAAAATAATGTTTATCATGATTTTGTTTTGAATTTTCACAACTGCACTGTGTAATTTATATTGCAACTCCATAATAAATTTTCAGAATTTTATAAAATGAGGGTAGGGAGATATGATATGTTCATAATTAAAATTTGAAAACTTTTTATAGTAATGCTTAAGTATTATTCAGTAATATCATTTATTATTTTTATAGTAATGTATAAGTATAAGTATTATTAAGTATCATTCCCACTGAAGACAGCTTTTAAAAGATGATGTAAAAAATGTCATATTTTTTCGTCTCATTCTCGTATATAATTGTATGTTTGTGCAAATTGATTCTACATAATATTTACTACTTTTTTGGTTTTGGAATTAAAATGTTATGTTTTGGTTAAGGTTGCTAGTTTAGAACATAGCATCTTTAAATAATTATCGAATTGCAGAAACTGCCCATGTAAAGTTATTTTTGCATTACAAATTAATTCTAGCAATTTTCATGCTTTCCTGTCTTCTCTCCCTCGAAAAATTTCTACGTTGCCTTTTGTTTCAGGTGTAGTAAAAAATTTAAGATAGAATAAAGTTACGTAAGTATTTCTCCATTTCAATGATGTAAACAAAGAATAAAATAGGTTTGTTTCAAAATTTTCTAATTATTATGAAATACATATATAAATTTTTTTTATAGTTAAAATTTCCACTCAATTCAAATGTAAATTTAACTTTCTAATTATATAATTTCAGAATATGAAAAATTTATTATAATTGGGAAATTATAAATGGTTAGAGTAAAATTAAAGATGACTAGAGTTAGAAAAATTGACCAGATTGATTAAATTGGTTCCTTTCTAAAAAAAGTTGGACATGCATTTAAAATTAAAAATAAACACTTTGGAAATGATTAATGAGGTAAAATTTACCAAAAAACTCATTGTATAAGGGACAAGAAAAAAGCATTAAAAATTTAGCTACTCAAGTAAATTAAATTTGAAATATTTATTCAAAAAAATCAACTCAACACAAAATATTCCTTGAAGGGAAAAAATGGATGGAAGCAGAATTCGCTAATTTAATTTTGTTTAGTATTTTTGTATAACTAAGTAAATAATGCGTGGAATGACATTATAAAACTATTGTTCCATGTTTTACTGCTTTATAACAGTGCAGGAAGTTAAGTAAAATTATATCGCTGAATTTTTCTACTATCATCCAAATATTCCCCTTGTTTACTCCAAAAGATGATGTCAGAAAATCTAATATTATATAGCATCAAACCAATGAAAATTAATGTCATGGCGAAAGCTAGATAATATTAGTTTAGAATTTAACGTTATATAATGCAGAGTCACCTTTTGTATCTTTCGAATATTAAAAAGTAGCCGTGCAAAATGGTTTTCTGAAGTTATCTAATATTACTTCAGACTAGATCTAAATATCATAGTTTTAAATTAAAAATTTTTGTTCATTTTTCACTCAAAATAAATTTAATTTTGACATGCATGATGTGCTCCATAAATTGATAAATCTCAGTTGTAAATTAAAATTCCCTAAAAATCTCTTTTCCTTAAGTTTCTGCTTGGTTTGTTTTGAAATAGTTATTAGCTGTTAATTCTATTCATGAACTAATAAAAAAAGTTTAATTTCTTTATTCAAAGAAAGAGCTGTATAAATTATTTCTATCGGTTTAGCTAATTTTAAGCAGTTTCATTGAGCACGTGGCACGCTTTTCTATTTAAGAACTCAATGAGAACGTCTGCATAAATAAAATATGCAAATTTTAAAACTTATTATTTAATTCAAATGTTTCCTCGTGTCAGTTAAATATTCCTTCATTTAAGAAACTACTTCTATGAAACAATCAAAATTAAACTATGCTGTTATTAATTATGAATTTTCTGTAAATTTTTTTGCTAAATTATAAAATTTTAGAATACTAGTGGGCTGTGCCCCCTGATCGCTAACGCTCGCCAATCCCGGAAAATTGCTACGCAATCTTATATGGTTTGCGAAGCAAACCAAGATCGCTTCGCTCGCTACTAATTTAGGTACATTGCAAATGCACAAAATTCTAAGAATTCAAAGCAATCATTCAAATCCATATAAAAACTTTTTTTTTAAAAAAAATTACATCTTTTTAGTAAATACTAAGTCATTAAAATAAATTTGAATTCAAATAAATGACATGCAATTCGTTAAACCTATTAGAAATGTGCTATAGTATAATTCGTGATATAAATCAAAAATCGTCAAATAAATTCGTAATCTATAAATTCGTGAGAAAAAGCGCTTTCGACAAAATACTAAAATAGAGATCTATCGACAAAGACTGCCTAGCTTAATAGTATGAGATTGCCGCAGCTGATGCTCTCCGGTTATTTCAGTTTCCGTTTTTAAAAGCGCTATATGTGTTGAGCCACCTCATCTAGATTTGGCATGTGACATTTTTAACGGCAATCATTGGTCGATTTTCTAGCGTTGCCATTCGGGGAATTGCAATGAAGCTTTTTTTTGTCACCGTGTAAGAGAAATAGTAACTTAAACAAAACAAAGCAAACGTTGCCACCGGCGGAAAAGAAATACAGCCAAAATTTGGGAGCCACGTAAGAGAATTATATATATTAGATTTTCCTCTAAGATATAATAAAATCTTTTTCAAATAATCAAAAATAATTTTACAATACTGTTTGTATACATTTGAAAATCTCAATTAATAACTTTAAACTGAACCTGCATAGTTTTTATTTTGTTTGATTTTGCAATCAAAATTGATACATTTAAGTTATCGATTGTAATTAAGAGCATGAAGTAGATTTATAATACTATTCAGTTTGAATATTAATCAATTCTAATATTTATATATAAAAGACGGCTAAAAATACTTTTAAAATATATGCTCACATTTTATATTTAGTAATTATTATTGTACTAATTTAATGTTTTACCAAGACATTGTTGCTTACCATGCACTTGCCTGTAATCCATAACATTAATATTAAAAAGTATTATACTGAAATGTAAAAAAAAAAAAAAAGATATTTTAAGCATATAAAGGAAAATATAAGAATAAAATTTAAAGCAAACTGGATTTCAATAAATGTGTTATTATTAAAACACCTATTCAATATTAACACGTGGCCCGATATCTTACCTTAATATTGACCCATAATATTTATATTTGAAAACGTGTTATATTACCAGGTACTAGTGTACCCTAGCAGAGGAAATAATTATTAGGGGTACACAAGTTGGCCCTATAGGTTACAGGATGATACTTTTCTTATTTTATATTCAAAACTTTAACATTTGTCTTAAAATTAGCATGAGAAATATACTAGAACAGATTTATGATAGATTTATATTTTGTGAACCATCCACACTCGCAACTCTAAAACTAAAAAATTTTATACCTTAATAATTAGTAACCACATTAGTTTAAGAATTTTAAAAATTATGTTAAAATACTGTATTTTATATGATTTAGTGCTTATAATAGATAGCAGCATTTTAAAGTGCAAAAGAATATGAACTCACAACTTCAGTGATGGTTGCTTCGTACTTGTTTCCTCCGTCTAACCTCATTCCATCATAGAAGGGGTTCGCGATTGTCTTCCGATCATGAATGGACACGTGGACACTCGCAGATCTGATAAGAGCTCTCAACTCGTGTGGTTGGGTCAAGATCATAAGCTCTATAACTAAAGAAAAGGAAGAAAGTTCTCATTTTCGAAAGTTTTAATTAACGTGACAACTTCATTTAATAGAGTTTTCTTTAAAATTGTTTTATCCTTTTTTTGTTTTTATACTTTTTACGAGTTTATGATAAAATAAAGAATTTAGAATTGTTTTATAACCAAATTTTGAAATTCAATAATGAATACTTAGTGAAGATCTGTAAATGATGTGCTACAAATATAAGTAATAGTTTATAAATCAAAGATGTATAAAAAAATAACGTATATAAACAGAAAGAAATGTGCATAAATTAAAATTTCATGAATAGCATAAAGTTTTTATTTAAAAAAAAGGGAAGTAAAGCAGGCAAATTTACTACAAAAGTAGAGAAAGAAACTTCCTTAGATAAAGCTAAAAATTATTGTTTTTCGAAATTTAATTTCATAATTATTATCTTAAACTAAATGTTAAATAATAAAATACACAGCAAACATAAGAAGAAATATTAAAGTTTACTTTGCATACAACGCTGAACATAGAAAGGACAATCTCAGATGACGCATAGTCTTAAATAAATTGAAATTTCCTATCAACTATTAAAAATTATAAAAAATTAACAACAGTAGTGTCTGCTTTATAACACCCCAGATACAGAATGGTACTAATATTGGACATTGTTAGAAAATTATTAAGATTAAGATTTTAAGCTTTCTTTCTATTGGTACACCTTTACAAAGTTATTGTTTATGTAAAAATATAATTCCGACATTAATCGGAATTTTTTTGAAATGGACAATGAAAACTTAGGAGAAAAATAAAGTGTAACCTTTTGGACAGTTTAATGTTATTATTTAAATCTAGTGGATTTTTTTTTCATGACCAACATGTGAAGAAATACACTATAGAAATTTTGACATTATTCAAACAATGCCAAAAATGAAATTCATAATTATTTTATGCAATATTTAAAAGTAATTACTGAAAGTTTAGTATGTTAAATAAAATGAATTATTTTATAAAACACTTATCGCATTTATAAGTTTACTACTTTCTAAGTAATATGCAGTACACTCTTCAAAAACCCCGTTATGTTAAAAAAAAAAAAAAAAAAAAAAAAAAAAAAAAAAAAAAAAAAAAAAAAANAAAAAAAAAAAAAAAAAAAAAAAAAAAAAAAGATAAATAAATAATTCCTGTGGCATTATATATCCTCTTAATGTTAATTTGAATTCCTATGTCTAAGAGTTTCTTCTCAAAATCTTGTTTTGTAGAATATTTTTCGAAATAGAAATTGAATTTTTTCGGAAAGATCACAATGTAAGTTGCTTGTAAACCAATTCTTTTCTATTTAATGCATAATTATTTTTGTTTTACTTTGAAAAATAAAATTATCATTGTTGTATTTAGACTTATAGTCAACTATCATTACATGGGTCATTCTCACAAAAGCAGCCATTTTCATGTTCCCAGCATATTTTACGGTTGTTTCACGACTTATGGAAAAAAAATTTTTTAGAAGAAAATGTCTTTCAGAATGCAGGTTAACAAGAAAAGAAAAAAAAAGAAGATAATTGTTAATTTTAATTTATTATTTTTTTAGGTATTTAAAATATAACAATACGTCATTCAACATGCTTCTCTTACTGATTTAAAGAAAGGAAAAATTATTTCTTCTTAGTTATAAGCTTACAAGTTCGTATTTTTCTTTTCAGAATATTGAGATATAGAATTCGAAAAATCAATTTTAAATTTAATTTCTGATAAAAAAAAATATTACTTCAGCGCTATTTTAAACTTTGACTCTGTGTTGTATCCATTCTCTTAGAACAATATATTAGGGGGACCGGAAAGTAATACCGTTTCGGTGCATTAAATATTCGTTAGTCTTAAAGACAAATTTATTTTTTCCCCCGATTTATTTTGATTCATTTTCTATCCTGCATTGAAAGTTTGTTGCTAACGAGGGTGAATACATTATCGGTTAAAAATAAAATCTAGATAACAACTATCGAATGCACTGAAACGACATTACTTTCCGGTCCCCCTAATATTTACTACTCACAATTCTCACAGAATAAAAAATATTTTAGTAAAAACTTTAGCAGTTTGCTACAACCAGCATCATAGAACGAAATTGCAACATATTTTCAGCTTCAACATTCAGAAGCTTAGCAAGTGGAATAAACTTGAATGCATGAAATCAGGTAAAATTGTTACATTTGTCATTAAATATGTATTATTTAAGAGTAGTTATTCTTATTCATGACTCTACTTTCTTAGAGTCGAACATATTTTCCTAGTTTTTAGAACATGTTTAGTTCTGAACTTGTTATCTCCAAATCTTTATCGTCCCTTCAACAATTCTATCGCCCTCATCTAAGGCCCGTAAATAGATAAAGGCAATATTAATAAAATGCTTACCTGAAAACTTGTTAATTTTCTGAGTTCCTGCTTTTCCGACGTCAGAGTTTATTGTATAGCAATAGGCAGGTTCCGCTGAGTAGATACCATCGTCTGCGATGGATGGCAGTGCAACGGCAGACAACCTATTCCTTTATAGAAGAAGTTAATACAGATGTTCGTTATTCTGAAAGTTTTACCTTTAAACCCTTTTTGGCAAATCCTTTATTTGCATGCAAGTCTACTGACCACAATTTAGAGTCAATTGGATTCCAATAATACTTAAAAGTTTAGAACTATTTAATAATTCAATTCGTCATCAGGGTGAGTAGCCAAATCTTTCAATAAAAAATAAGCACCTTTTAAGTACTTTTTAAGCACTTAAAAAGTATTTTTTAACACTATATACATTAACAAAATGCAAAATAATTTTGACAAAGACCTTGCATGATCATGATAAAATAGCTAGTTTCTGACAAAGAACTCTTTTTCTTCATTACATTAGCCGCCATAAAAGAAATAGAGAGATTTTTCGGTTCGATTTCAAAAGGTGGAAAATGAAGCTGTAAATTGAGAATCTCTTGCAAAATACAGCCGAGTTGCACATTAGAGTGCAAGAATAATTCCCTCTGAATCACATGCGGACCTCAGTATATGCACATGCGGACCGGCGAGAATTTCATCAAACATGTAAAATGATTAGTGCTTTTATACGCTACGGAACGATGGTACGCCGAAATGCAACGAGTTTGAATGATTTGTGAAAACGTTGAGTAGAACAATGTGAAAACAGCGCTTTTACATAATGCGTGGTGAAAATCAACATGGTAAAGAAAAAAAAATTCTCATGTTTGGAAGGGTAAAATTAAGCACTTTTTAAAAACACCCAATGAAAAAAGCACCTTTGAGGGCTTTTAAACAACGAAAATCGAAAATAATCACTTTTTAAAAACGCTACGCACCCTGTTTATTATATCAATAACAAATCGACAAGAAATAATCAGTAAACATTTGAGATCAATAGGAAAAAACCTGACCTTTTACTAGATTTTTCACAAACAAAATTCTAGTATTTCTCACAGTGACAAATTTCGTACACCTGATTTAGCGTTGCAGTGATTGCTTCATTCACATAAAAATGCGTAAATTCTGTAGCTACAATAATGAGGATCATTTTCACAAATCGTTTAATCTGCAATTTTATTTCCTTATTGAGTTTAGATTCCTTGTCATAACCTACCTTCGCTACTTCTCTTTTAAGCATTTCGATGATTTTACTCTTCCCTTACACTGAAGATATGACTGGTTCATTGCCTTAGAAACTCGAAAATTATATTTAATAAAAGGTTTCATTTTAATTTAAAGGTTTTATTGAGCTTAACAACATTCATATTTGTTATTTTAATTGAATGCTGTTGGTTAGCTATAAAAGTTCTAAAGTGAAGATCTGATTTTAATTGTTAAATGCCAGGCTGAATTAGGCAATAATAGTTTTTGCATACATATAACAGTAGTTTATTCAATTGTCATTTAATTCAATGATTTTATAGTGAATTTTGCTGTTTTATATAGACATTTGTTGGAAAATAGTTATTTTTAATCAAATTTTGAGAGAATAGCTTAATTTGTTTTTAAGTAAATAAATACTACAACAAATCCTTTAAATTCTACACTTTTGGTAAAAGTGGATCGTAAATTAATGTTTCTATAAATATTAGAATTCCACATAATTAGTTATTTATATTAAACTTAGAACTATTCTTTTTATTGTATATGCAGCCAATGAAGATGTAATAATGATGCAAATCAACAGACATTATGTCCATCTCTGTTTAAAGAAATAATAACTTTTGATCTTACCTGCATGACTTTTTACCAGAGTTGGATACTTCGTAACAGGAATAAATAATATCGGATGTATACTTTGTTTTTTCAAGAAAATTCCAAATTTCTGTCGTTCTCGAGAGATTTCCGTACTCCGGAGTAACCTTGAGACACACCTAAGTTGTAATAAGTAAAAGTTAAGAAGAAAAGAAAAATCTGTTTTTAAAAAAGAAGGAATAAATTACTCACCCAGGAAACGAATGCTGTTCGATTGTCAGGACAAATCCATGGAAACAATTGACACACACGATCCATACATTCAACACCGCATTTAGAATTTGCCCCTACTAGTGGAAAATATTCACAGAACACACTTCGCCTCTGCCTTTTTAAATAAAGGATGAAATTACTCATGATGTCAATATGCATTATATCATGATGTCAATGCCATGTCACATGCAAATATAGTTAGACGAACAGTTGGACCTCTATTAAGTCTCCCGATAAAAAGTTAGTTATAATAAAAATTCGTTAAATAGAAAATCACCATTTGAAATACTTAAACAACACAAAAGAAGTTTTAAATTCATTGTAGCGCATCAAGCTATATTAAAGAACTGTTCAGTTTTTTTATAAAAACTTTTATTTGCAAACAACACAAACAGTAACAAATATGAATTACCTGTAACGGTATAGTGAAAAGATCATAAAACAGCAAGAAAACCCTTAACGGGATATAAGGAAACTCACCCGTAGCGGGATAGATAAAATATTATAAAACAACTAGATAAAGTGCCCGTAACGGGATATATGAAAACTCAAATTCCACACGAAACTCATTCTAAAAAATCAGCAACTTTCTGGTGTTCTAATTTTATCGTCTGCTTTTATTATTTAAATTTATATTTTTATGTGTTTATTTTATTTATGCTTTTGCCAGTCCGTTAGTTTTTAATATTTTTACTTTTATTCATGCTTTTGCAAACCAATCATCTTTCTTATATTTTTAGACTTTATATCATGAACACTAGACATAATTAAAAAAAGCAATTCTGCACCTTTATCTTGTAAATTATTATCTACTATGGAATTGTTTCAAATTATTAGCATTTCATCATATGAAGTTTTGATGATCTCTTCATCATTTCCGTCTTCCTCACAATTTATTGCTGTATCATTTTTATTTTTTACACTGTCCCAAAATATCCGATTCAGTTAATGCTTCTGAGGTTGCAGCTTCAGAATCAATAAAAAAGAAAATCATTAATCAGTACATTATCATTAATTGCGTGATTCTCTCTTAGCTGTAACCATATTTTTTTAAAGTTCTTCGAAAGGAATGTCATCCTCGTCCTCCGCACTTTTCAAATTCTCAACGCTGACTATGAATCCAGCTTTAGCAAAACTGTTACGAATAGCACGATCTGTAATATCATAGTTTCATGCTTTAGAAATTTCTGTTATGTTTTCTTGTAAATTGATTTTAGGCATGGATTCCTGTATGAAATGCAAGCAAAAAGGGGTTTTACATCTCTCTCTCTAAAAAATAAGTAGCCGCGAAAATCAATTCCATTTCCCCCATTAAATACGTTGACAAGTTTGAAATGTTCCGAAATAATTTGGGGAAATAGGGAAAGTGGATCTTAAAGAAAAGTTCGTTAAATAGAAAATTCAAAATCAATTCCATTTCCCCCGTAAAATGCGTTAACAAGTTTGAAATTTTCCGAAATAGTTTTGGAAGGAAGGAAAGTGGATCTTACAGAAAAGTTCGTTAAATAGAAAATTCACTTCGCTATGTAGAAGTTATTTTGTGATGAAATTTTCAAAATGTTCTTGGTTCCTCAAAAATAAAATAAAATCGCAAAATAGAGAAATTCGCAAAATGGAAGTTCGTTAAATAGAAGTCCGACTGTAATTGTATTTCATTTATGTACAAAGAACTGGTGATTAGGGTGGGCAACAAAAAATGTTGTCTAAAGTGTGCAGTGAAAAAAAGTTTGTCATTCTTTACAGCGTCTTATTTATCATGTATGTTAATTAACTTAACCCTTTGATTATGAATTTTAAAAAATGATTTTTTTTGTCCCGTTTATTATTCAGAAGGACAAAATGGGTCACAAATAAAGCAAATTTAGTATTTGGGATTTTTCTGACTAGTGGTTATCAATTTAGAGGCTGTGACATATATGTCCCGGCCGTACTTAATGGTGGGATACATATGTCCATTACTAATTTTTAAACATTTGTTGGGACAAATGAGTCCCATTAGTAGTCAAAGGGTTAAATTCAAAAATGTTATATTCTCATACGAATTAAAAGACGAAAAATGAACCAAAGCTGGGCTTTATTTATAAAAACGAACTGCTGCAAATTAAATAATAAATAATTATTAAAAATTAGTTTTTTTGCTTGATCTTCGGGTAAACTAGTTTCAGCAGTGGGTGCAATTTTTTTTAAACTGAGCGAGTCATTTTAAAGATAAACCCAGACCAAAATGACCAAAAACGCAAAAAGGGAAATTAACAACAAGGGATCAAACTTTCAACCGATATCCTGACAAAACTAAAAAGACCACAATTTCCAAATTGCAGCTTCTTTGATCTAGCATCCGTCATCTTTAGTGATGACATAGTGCCAGGTTCAGCCCTCTTTATAGGGCACAAACTAGACATTTTTGAAGAAAAAATCCTGAAATATTTCGACCGCAACGCATTTAGATCTTTAGATCCTCCCACGCATGCAAAATTGGCTATTGCCTCTTTTGTGGCAATATTGCCACAAAAGACATCGAACTCTAATATATTGTTCCTCCCTTAACATATACCTCTTTTTCATAACGTCAAATTTTTGTCGCACTTGATTTAGTTTTATGTTGTCATTCCACCCTCTTTCTCCCTCTCTCAAAAGAAAAAAAAAATAATTAAACGCTAAAAAGTTATCTAAAGTTGAATATACTATTGAAGTAAAGTAAATTATTTTATTGAAGTAAGTTAACACTTTCCATTTTGTGATAACATTCATACTTACGGGTTACTATTACAAACTGTAATGGCAGGATATTCGATGTCCATCGGAAAAGAGACCACCTGTGTTTTGGTGGTCGGATAAGTGACATAGGTGAGCATAATAATGGAGAACTGATAGAGGAATCCCATCAATCCTGTCAAGAGTATGGCTGAGATTAAGATTCTCTCATTCATCGATGCAGAGCTGGCGATGTCAGAAAACGCTGAGAAATAGGATCTTTCAAAAACGAACTTGAAAGATCGCCTCTCCTGTTTTGAGTTGCTCATTCTGAAAAGAGGCTTTCTTTAACAATTAAGTAAATAAAAACAACGCAAACGTTTATGAAAATTAAAACATTGTGTGTTTCAGTTTTAAATGCATCAAATATCCATTTATTTACTCCTTCCAAATTTGAACAAGAATAAATTTAATGAAATATTTTTTTCAGAGGAAGAATTTAATAATTTTAGAGAGTATTTAATAAAGTGGTGTGAGAGGGGAAAAAAACAAGCTAAGTTGAAAGATTCGCCTCTTTTATAGGTTGTTATAAATAAAGAAGTAATTGGTTAGTTTATAAATGAAGTTACGGATGCTTGGTATTTTTGCGTCTTTTCTGTTTCAATATTTATTTTATTGTTTTTTTCTTACGTATGCATAAAAACATGTGACAGGTGAAGTATTGTTTGCAACTAAATAGTTTAATCGATTTCTTTCAAATTGTCAGAAATTTTCGAGACAACCGGTATTTTAAACATTAAAAAATGATATCTAGCGGGTGCATTGGTTGTAAAGAAAAAAAAAGGATGAATTAAAGCTCAAACATTTTGCCCATAGTCCTGCATAGTTACTTGATAATAAAGAATTTACTTATTCTACTTTATTCTATTATCTGAGCATTTGAAGTGCGTCTAAAGTTTTAAGGATCAATTCCTTTGTCATAAAGAATCTAATTATTTTAATTTATTCTTTTATCTGAGCATTTGACGTGCGTATTAATGTTGAAGGAACACCTCCTTCATGATAAAGAATCTACTTTTTCTACTTTATTCCTTCATCGGCGCGTTTGAAGTGCGTCTAAATGTTTAAAGATCACTTCCTTTGTCATAAAGAATCTGCTTATTCTACTTTATTCCTTTATCTGAGAATTTGAAGTGCGTCTAAATGTTTAAGGACCAGTTCCTTTGTCATAAGGAATCTACTTATTCTACTTTAGTCTTTTTATCTGGGCATTTGAAGTGCGTCTAAATGTTTAAGGATCACTTCCTTCGTGATAAAGAATCTACTTATTCTACTTTATTCTTTTATCTGAACATTTGAAGTGAGTCTAAATTTTTAAGAATCACTTCCTTTGTCATAAAGAATATACTTATTCAACTTTATTCTTTTATCCGAGCATTTGAAATGCGTCTAAATGTTTAAGGAACACTTCCTTCATTATAAAGAATCTACTTATTCTACTTTATTCCTTTATCTGGGCATTTGAAGTACGTCTAAATGTTTAAGGATCACTTCCTTCATGTTAAAGAATCTACTTATTCTACTTTATTCTTTTTATCTGGGCATTTGAAGTGCGTCTAGATGTTTATGGATCACTTCTTTCGTGATAAAGATTCTACTTTATTCTTTTATCTGAGCATTTGAAGTGCGTCTAAATGTTTAAGGACCACTTTCTTCGTGATAAAGAATCTACTTATTCTACTTTATTCTTTTATCTGAGCACTTGAAGTATGTCTTAATGTTTAATTCGAGATAAATGTTTTGAATTATAGTTTTAAAAAATTTAAAATTTCATAAATTGAGGGTAAACTTACTTTGTCAAATCTTTGATGCTTTACATTCGTGGATCATATAAATTCATAACACAATTTCCTATCATTTAAAAATTAAATTTCATTAAACTAAATTAAACATTCATTTTTTTATTCTTCAGTGGTCACAACATATTTCATGTTCAATGTCTTCGTCAAAGTTACAGATTTTTATTATGAATAAAAAATGTTTTTCATTTGTTTCGCATAACAAAGATAAAATTTTTTAATCATAATGGTTTTTTTTCTTGTGCATTGTGCATTGTTAGTTATATAAGTATGAAAAACTTTATTATTTCCAAGTTTAGAACGCTACAGGATGTATATTTCACTTGCAACTTTTTTTTCGAAAATATTTACTTTTCAGTCAATAATGGAAAAAGCCATTATTTATTAAGATTTAAACCCTGGATTAGAACATATTTTCAGGTCAACAATGAAAGGATACCGAACGAACTAGAATAAACAATGAAGCCAATGATTGTAGATGCATTTTGTAGATGCATTATGTAAATCGATACAATAATTTACATTGTTTTGTTAATAAAATATATTAACCGTGGTGAAAATCATTTCAGAAAAACTTTTTTCTTTTAATATTCTCTCTTTTTCTTTCATGACATACGTGTATAAATAATTACTTGTTTGGAATAATCAACTAGTTTCTGTAATTGAAAATATAATAATTATTTATTCTCAATTCTACGAGCTTTAAACATGTCAGATAATTGGACGTGGAATTGAAACAAAATTGTAATTTTTTTTCTTTTTATTTAAACAACTTGTTATGGAACTTTATTTCATTTCGATCAAATAGGTTTTTCTTCTTTTTTAAACTGACTGAAAGATTACTTTTATGACTACTGATAGAATTGATCAGTGAAATCAATAATGTTCCCCGCCTTCTTAAATTACTTTTAAAATAATATTTTTTCCTATTACTCTCGTATTTACATACCATATCTCATGTTTATATTATGATAACTGAAATATTGCTAATACATTCTATTAATGTTTTTTGTTACAATTGTTTTCAAAATCCTGAAAGTTCCTTACATATCTGTCTGAAGGTGGTTTTATTTTCATATATATATACAAAATTTTTAATAAAATATATAGCAACCAAAAATTAAAAAAAAAACGATGCGTATTCTTTATAACTTTAGTTACTTAATTTTCTGAAATAATTCGACAGCTAAACTTACAGTTGGTGATGGCATATATTTCAGCAGATAACCGAAACAATCAGTACTGGAAGCACAGTACGCTAAAAAAAACGAACCACCCTGAATAACTTTTGATATAATGATCGATCTTCACGTTTTAGAACTCATTCTTATTGGTTCGAAGGGTTGGCCTCAAATATGTTAATTAATTGGTGCAGACGATATTTTAAATTACGAAATCAGGCACAAAAACGTATTTTCCCTGAATAAACCTACCTTTTTTTCGACGACTGAATTAAGTTTCTGACTGCCAAAATAAAGGGGTTAGCTGCAACCTGGGAAATTGTGTCCCCATAGTTCAGTAAGAAGAGCGATCCAAAGTTTGGAACCCTAAATATTAATTTTGCTTTTTGCGTAATTCGCCATATCTCGAGAACTTCTTCGGCGAATTAAAAAAAAATTACACACAATTATAAAATTCGTTTTACAAAGATAATTACAAGCAAAAGATACATTTTAACAAATATTTACAATTATTTTATTCAATAATAGTAGAAAAAAAATTTAAATTGTAGGGTATAGAATTTTTTACATAATTTTAAAGAATGTAATTGTACAGTCGGCANGTAAAAAAAAATATATGTTTATTCAGAGAAAGTACGTTTTTGTGTCTGATTTCGTAACTTAATTAATAGTTAGCACTAATTAATTAGCATATTTGAGGTCATCCCCAGGAACCATTAAGATTGATACTTAGTTCGTGAAAATCGGATCATTAGAACGAAAGTTATTCAGGGTGATATCTTTTTTTTTTTGCGGACTGTACATGTCGAAATACAAAATTTGAGCGAATACGCGGTCAAATAGTTTGTCAGAAATCGAATTTTGGAAAAATTCGTATATATAAAATTCAGTTGCTCAGGAAGTATGATTTAAATATGATTTAAGTATGATTTAAATCGAAATCGAACGGATATTGAAATAAACATAGAAGAGAACAGGTCTGTAAAAGTAAAATAAAACTGTGTTTAATTCAAAATAATTTATTTTAAACCACAGAAGTTAAAGCATATGTCAAGAATTTTTTAATTAAAAAAATACTTATCTATTAGCTCAATCATTTCCCAGAAAAGGAATTTTCTGTCAGTGTTATTCAAATGGATAATACAAAGGAATTTTTAAAACGAGTTAATAGAGAACTAATCATATCTGTTTTTTCAGTTTCAATCTGTTAATAATTTCTGTAGCCATTGAAACAAACTCCTTTATTTTATTTAGTTGCTCTAATGCAGAATCAGGCTCTTTTGTATCATCAGCTATAAATGGGATTCGTTGTTGAATCATTCTGTACATTTTCTCAATCCATCTATCTGTATCATGCCATTCTATATCATCCTTCACGTTTTCTGCCAGAATCTGATCCAACTAAAAACATAAATAAATGTTTGGCATCCTTAAAGGGTACACTGAGAAAAGTATGGTCAAAACTTAAAGTATGGTCAAAAGAATTGGATAAAAAATATATCGTGATTCTGGCTGTATGGAGCACCAAAAATTTCGTTAATTTTTACCGAAGTGCTTTAGTAATGATTTTAAAAGAATTAACGATAAAATATAATTTTATAATGTGTGATAAAATTTGGTAGATGTAGTAAAATTTGGTAATTGTATCGTACCTTACGCACGATTTTAAAAGTTAACTACGTCAAAAAAAAATCGTTCTTTGTTTACTGACCTCTTGCTCCAAATCATTTGATTTGTCATTAATATCTTTGATCGTTGTGCGGAGATCATACATGACATTCTCTTTTTCTAAAATCTTCAAGGGATAGAGTTTAGCTTCTTCGGCCAACCTCTCCCGATCAGTGACAAGCTTCTTTTCTTCGTCGTGGTAATTTTTCTCTTTCTCCAGCAAATCATTTCGAAGCATCTTCAAGACTAGATAATAATTCACTAACTCTTTGGCATTTTTATACCCAGGAAGATCTGAATCACAATATACTGCATTTAGAAAAATCAGTCAATAAATAAAACAAACAAACAAGCAAACCAATAAACAAACAAACAAACCAATAAACAAACAAACAAACAAACAAACAAACAAACAAACAAACAAACAAACAAACAAACTAACGAACTAACGAACAAACAAACAAACAAACAAACAAACAAACAAACAAACTAACGAACCAACAAACAAACAAACAAGCAAGCAAGCAAACAAACAAACAAAACAAAGCAAAGTGAAACAAAACAAAACAAGCAAACAAACAAACAAAACAAAACAAAGTGAAACAAAACAAAACAAGCAAACAAACAAATAAACCAAACATACAAACGAAACAAACGAACATACAAACAAAACAAACTAACAAACAAAACATACAAACGCATATTTTTATTACAGATGTTCACTTCATGAATATAAATGTCAAGATATATACAAATGTCTCTAAGCACAGACCGAGTACAGGCCGTTTCGTCCCTCTATAGAGATTATTTATAAATGCGTTATGAGAATTCTAAAAATACACATTAAGAGCGGTTTTCATAGAACACTCTGTATTTTTAAAATGTAGTTTTTTTAGAATATTAACTACACAGAGTCACCACCAAATAAGCAATTATTTTGAAAGCATATTTTTACTGATAATAGCAAATAGTTAATCACTAAAGCAAATAGTTAATTATAGCAAATAGATTGCATTGGTTATCGATATATGGTAATTGTTATATGATACTGATAATAGTGAATAGTTAATTGTTAAAATAAATAAGAAGTAAAAATATTATAATAATGTTATAGGTTGTGTTAAATTAAGAACAGTGGCAGTGGTTATGGGAAGTTTGTTTTCGGAAAAAGCAACTCCTTTTCCGAAACTGATTCACAGACTTTGCTTATAGGCGATTTAATGATCGTTTTTGAATATAAATGTTGTAGAAACAGGGTGTCATTTTTTAAAAAGGTTTCACACAAATCTCTTTCGTGTATTTATTCCTTCCTCCCGAAAAAAAAACAACTTTATATTGTAACTTTTTAACACTTTTCTGAAAAAAATGAAATAAAATCATCAAAATAACATTTTTGGGGGATAGCACACACCCAACCCCCCCCAAAAAAAACGTCAAATAAATCAAAATATTAAAAGCTTATTCAAACATCTTTAAATGGTCATTCAATCGTGGTTTTTAAATGCAAAATTTTTCGTTTTTAAGGACCACAAATGTAGTGCATATGTCACGGGCAATGTAAATAATTGGGCATTGTTTATAATGCCCGGGCAATTTAAAAAGTGACCAAAAGGATATGACAAAATGATAAATTATGTTGCAATTATTACATTGCCCGGTCATTATGTATAATGCTAAAAGTCAAGTGGGCAATTTGTGTCACACACAGCCACAGGGTGTCTTGGGATATTCATCCACTTTTAGATGCACCTGGATAATTTTTTTTTAAAATTTTTCTCCGCACATGCGCTGTATAAAGCAACTACTTCAATTACTCTTATCTGGCGCAGTTTTTATTGTTATTTTTTTAATTTTAAATCAATAATTTCGATATCAGTTTAAAATTGATTCAAACGCTTTGTTTAATTCTTTTTAAATATTTAAGCTATAGCAAAAGTGGCACTAGACCTAGTATATATTTCGGACATTTACCAAAGGTCTAGTCATACTAGGTCTGGTTAAGTGCCATTGCCCGGTATACATTTGCCCGGTATATCCTACACTGATGTTTTTTTAAGGTCAAGTGCCACTGCCCGGTATACATTTGCCCGGTATACCCTACACTGATGTTTTTTTAAGGTCAAGTGCCACTGCCCGGTATACCCTACACTGATGTTTTTTTAAGATCAAGTGCCACTGACCGGTATACATTTGCCCGGTATACCCTACACTGATATTTTTTTAAGGTCATGTGCCTCTGCCCGGTATACATTTGCCCGGTATACCCTACACTGATGTTTTTTTTAAGGGCAAGTGCCACTGCCCAGTATACCCTACACTGATATTTTTTTAAAGTCAAGTGCCATTGCCCGGTATATATTTGCCCGCTACTCCAATCACTGATGTTTGTTCTAATCTATCGTCAGTAAGTATTAAAGTATCGAATAAATGTAATTATATCCACGAATAAATTAGTATCAAATTGGATGTAATAAATATTTCGGACATTCACCAATGTTGACAATCAAACTAATTTGATTGTCAACATTCACCGGTGGACATTGGCCAGCCAGAATCACACCACACGCACGTGGTTGTCCCATTGCTGTCAATTAATCAAAGTGCCCAAAGAAATAATAGCGGTATTTATAATGACCGGGCAATGTGAGAAATTATCGTAAAGTAATTCAAATTTATCAAATTGCCCAATTTTAATGGTCATTATTCATAATAACTAAGCATTATGAATACTGACCTAAATAATTACATTGCCTATAACACGTATAAAATATAGAAATGAAAAAATAATTTACAATGAAATAATAGAAACAATAAAAATTTAAAAGGAAAAAGCAGAAAGAAAAAAAAACATAAATTTGCTAATTTTAATTAATGAAATTAGGAAAAATAAAACAAAAACATATTTATTTCAATTAATATCTTGTCAAAAATGTGGGACCCAGAATAATTCATTTTCAAGAGGAAATTTCAAAAGCTGATAGGAAAAACTTATCATTCCGAATGTTTATAAAAAAAAATGTCACGAAATTTTCAGATATTAGATGCAATGCACGTGCAGAAATTTTTAAAATATCGATGCAATGCACGTGTAGATTTTTTCATTTTATTTTTTAATGTTTGTTTTGTATTAATAAACTGAATTTTGGAAGGGGTGTGATTTGCGTTTATTTTTTAAATTAGATGTCAATGTAGGTGCTGCCATCTATAATATTAATTAAAAAGCTTTCCGTATATTTTATCGTGTTTTATAAAATCATCGATTAAAATATTTAATGATAATCTTTATTTATGTTTAAAACTATTAATTCCCTACCAATAAATGTAAATTTGACCGGAATAATAAAGAACTAATTCAACGCTAAATCAAATTATAATTTTATAAGTAATGACTGCAAAAATTCTTTTAGGAAAAGAGCAGTGTAGCTAAATCATTAAACTTCATTAAATAAAAAAAAATTTAATGCCAACTTATATATTAATCAAACTTTGCATAGTATTAATTAAAACTTTTAATTACACATAAGAAACTTTTCAAGCGATTTTTTTAACATTATCTTAATGAAATTTGGAATCCGTAAAAATATTGTAGTGGATAAATTAATAAAAAATAAATGAATTTTATAATTGTGTGCAAAAAATATTTTGATGTGCGTAAATTTAATGGTGCGATATAGCTAAAAATCAAAATTCTGATCGCTCATCTGCCTAAATTGTTAGATTATATTTTCCTAACTGCGCATATTCTTCTTATTTTAAGTGTCAAAAATCTAAATGATTAAAAAAACGGAAAAAAAAAGGAAGCTTTTATTTGAAAATACGTTAAAAAGTCTAATTTCGATAACTAAGATGTAATAATAAATAGGTATATTTCTGACATATTTAATATTCTGCTACATATATGCTCAAAAATTAACATGTACAGGAATACCTGGTAAACTATAGAACAAAATTTAAATAACTTCTAAAATATAAGTAGCATGTTACCCAGCAATAAACCAATAAAGATCAAGAGATCTAGGAATAAACCAGTTTTCGTCACTTTTCATCAATATTTGGAATAACTTTTTAAACCTTTTTTGAGTGCAAAATTTGAATTCGAGCTACGATTCGTTAATTCAAATATCCATTCGTTTCGTTAATTCAAGCAACGATCACTGAAAGACATATACCTGAAATACGCGTTCGGAAATAAAAAAAAATGAACGCAACACACTAGTTATCCCTCGCAAATTTCATTGCAACTTCTTTGTTGGATTTTTAAGTTTAAAAAAAAACTGATTGCCCTTACTAATTCGAAATGTACTTACTAATGCGGGTGGGTGACTAATTTGATCAGCCCGCGAAGGGAACTAAGGTGCACGGAATCAGTTTTTGCTAAATAAATTCTATTGTACAGTATTCGACCACGCGCTCAAGTCACCGGGCTACAAAGGTGGGGAACAATCCCCTCTACAGAGGAACAAAATTAGGATGAAGACCGTCACCTATAGCCTATAGTGCAGCTTTAGTTATACATAAGCAACGTATTGCTACTACTCAGTTTAAAAAAATATTTCAGAAAAATGTGTTAAAGGATTTCTTTTCATATTTCTTTGTACATTTTATTTATTTACATTTGCACATTTTATTTTATTTTACTTAATTTGCTGACTCAGAATTCCTTACATCATTGCAATTAAACTGAGAAACTTCTGAAAAATAGTATAAAGTAAGAATTATACAAAAGGTTACAGCTGTTGTTTTCGAACTGTTGCTTTTTACAGAAAGTAATCGGCCGGACCCCGATTTTTAAAGCTGTTAACTGTTGTTATAGCTGATTGGTTTATTATAGCTTGTTTCTCGCTAAAGTAGTTACAACAGGAATTCATAAAATGATATTATTGGGCTTGGTGATTTTTAACAAAACCAAAAAGGTTTAATAAAATTATAAAGTCTTACAATAATTTTTTGTAACTAAGTTTACACACCTTTTCACTAAGTATTTGTAACTAATTAGATTCGTTCGATTTTTCGTCAAACAAATCATTCTGTACAAAGAGAGTTTGCTTTATTGAATTTGGCTTGTAAGTATATTCATATTACTAGCCTTTTCGTAGAATCTTGTTTTGTCTTCATCTAATATAATTTAGTACATTTAGCATTTTTCTTTTTATTATTAGTCCACGTTAAATATTTTATTTAAACTCGCTTTCCTTACTTGTTTTTGGAATTTCTTTTTAATATCGGGGCGAAGCCATACAGTAATATATTAGCATTTTGTCGGAAAAAACATCTGCTTATTTTACTTTCGCCTTCTGATATAAACATTTTAAATATTACTTAATAATAATAACGTCAAAATGCAATTTATAAAATAAAATTACAATACTAGAAAAATAACTTAGGAAATGTCTCTTTTTTAAAAAAAAAGTTTGATAAAATCATAATACACGTTACACGCTTGGCGTAATTTCGAAAAATATCGTCAATGCCAAATTCTTCTCGCTAAACTGTTGCCGCCGTTGAAATGAAGTTCTTACGATGGTCGCCAAAAATTAGTGCGGAGGCAAAAACAGAAAATCGTAACCAGAAAATGACAAATACATTAACGTACCGTAAAAAAGCATATATATAAAAAATAATGCTTTTTGGTTAGACGGATGCATAGAAATTCATGTATTAAAAAAAAAAAAGCATTACATTTAATTTTTATTTTATCTAATTTTTATATAATTTAATTTCTATTTATTTTAATTATTTTATTTAATTTATTTTTATGTATTTAAAAAATAAATAAAGTAAAAATATAAAAAAAGTTGATGGGGTCTACATTTTTTGGTGACAGAAAAATGCATAACCCACCAAAAAAGAGAATAACCCACAGAATTTTTTCAATTCTGTAACAACAGATCCCTAACTTTTTTATCCTCAAATATCGCCAAATCCACCCATGTAGCGTATACTAGAATTAAGCCAAATGTTTAAAGTTATATCATACTTGAAGCTATGCTTTGCAGATGTTCCTTATAACGCCGAAATATTTCCATTCGTTTCTGAGTAATGCTATTTCGTTCTAGTATGCCTCTAACTTCTCGTTCCAGTTTGAAGAATTCGAGATTAATTTCCTGATTTTCTAAATCCAAATCTTCATACATATCGCCAGCGTTTTGTTTTAGCAATTGAATTTCTCGTATATAAGTTTCAACTAGTTGAATTGAATACATCAATTCTTCCTCTTTTTTCTGAAATCCGTCTTTGATAAGCTGAATGCTTTTAACTTTGTCCCTATATTTAGAACGAAGGATTTCCTGTTGTTCATCGAGTTTATCAGCAACAGTTCTTTTCCGTATAAGTTTTTCACTAATAGATTGGTCCAATTTTACAGGAATTACGGTTTTTGAAAGCGACAAGCGTGGATTTGAAATTTGAGATCCTTTGAGCTTTTCTTCCATAATCCTTATATTTAAGTATTAACTATTCCTTAAGTATTAACTAATTGTGATACATACGAATATATATTCCGACACAATCTGAGATTTCAAATTGTATGTGCTAAAGGCTCAGAAGCAAAGCTCAAACAAAAAGCTTTATCTGTTTTCCTTACTTATGCGTGCTTCAAACGTAATATTTATGGACTGTTACAATGTTTATGGTGCAACCCACAACAATGCGTGCGTGAACACCAAATCGAGAGTTCCTATACAATTTTAAGGGCGTAATAATTTAAATCTAAACACTTAGCATTGAATTATTTTACACCAAACTTACACCATACCATTTTTGCTTGCACTCCATACCAGAATTCCTTTCACTTCCGAAAACGCAAATTTCCCTCCTTAAATTAAAAGAAATTAAACAAATCAGACGTTTAATATCGAGAATAGTCGGTTTACAATCTGGAAAATTGTGTATTATTCCTGAAACTGAAATGAAAAATCACCTTTAAATATGTATGCATGCTTTTATTTGTGTAATAAGAATAATTATATTTTAATTTAAAAATCTCTGAGAACTGTATTGACTGATTATATTATGTATGAATTCTATCCTCTTTCTTACTATCGTAACACGAATTCGAACTAGGCTTAATGACCGGTATCGAATTTAGGCTTAACGAACTAGGCTTAACTATCGAACTATGCATAACGGCCGATATCGAATTTGAGATAGTTCAAACTCGATAATGAAACACTAGATCCGCGAGTTATGTATGTTGATAAACTATACCGTACTTTGGAGTAAAGTAGTTGCACCATTTTTGGCGTTCACATACACTAAAATTTCTTACAGCTAGGCCAATGTTTGGTATACACTTAAAAGGTACTCTATGAAATGATATTTTTATTATTATGATATTATTTATAAAGTCCAATTGAGCCGGTTAATATAAAATTTGTTCTTCATGAAAAAATTAATTTGTTGATGAAGAAATATTATTTTTCGTGAGTCATCAACTCAGTAATATTTCTTTAAAAAAAAGAAAAGAAAATGTATGCATTTTTTGTCTATGATACTCTGTTAAATCTACTTTACCTAAAAACACCACACCCCACACAAATGTATTTGAAATATCATGCGTCAGATCGACGATAGACGTCGTACTCGAGCGCTCGAAACGTGTTGCCGTTTCTTCTAAGTCAATTATCTATCAAAAACAGATCTAAACTTTTCAAATAAATTTTTCGTTACAGTTTTCATGGAATTTATTCGTTTCATTTAATGTATTGAATGCTTGAAATGTTTTGGCGCATTGAATTACTTCTATTTATTGTTGAAAATCATTCAGTTTGTTGATTTAAATGCATTTCTTTTATTTAGTGTAATTTGCTGCCCACTCATGATTTCTTATCTATATTTGACAAAGGAAATAACTTATCTCTGTTTTAGTCAGTTATCAATTCCTCTACAAAATAAGTTTAAAACAACGTAAATGCATGTTTAGAAAAAAAAGGTTTTTCTTTGTTATGAAAAGATCACTTTGAAGTAAGATTTTGTTTCATTTCTAAGCATATTCATTATTCATTGAAATAACTTAAAGTGATTATTTATTTAAGATTTATAAATTCTTGGCTCTAATCCATCTTGATACAACTTGTAAAGCAATTATAAATCAAATACACATTTGCATAAGATTAAAAATGTGTATTTCATAATGTAATTATCGGTATATATTTGATGTAATTTTTCAATTTTCTAAATTTAATCATTAACCATTTATTTATTATTCAAAAGTAAATTATTTTTTGAGGAAAATGCTTCATTTAGCAACTTATAATGGATTTAGGAGAAAACAGTTATTAGTATTAATATGTAACTTACGTTAGTTTTTTTTTAAAACAGTGCGATTAAAATAAAGCAGAATTGAGAAATACTTGAAGTAATGATATGAATAAAATAAGATTGAGAAAAAAAATTAAGTTTATTAGTGAAAGGAATATCGAAAAATTTCTCATACATTAAAAAAAAAGCTTCAGTACGCAGTAAATACCGGATAATTTTTTTTCTCTTAAAAAATATTAGTATAGGGAATTATTAAGCCTGTTAATCCAATTATTATTAATAATACATGGTAATTATTAAAAATTAGTTATTAAGGAAAACGAAATAAAAATTGAACCTGCTTGTTATGCCGACAAATAACTATTAATTATTACTAATTGTCCAATAATTATAGAAAAAGTAAAGGTGTTTTAGTAGAAGAATTAATACCCAAGATTTTTTTCGCCAAAAGCTTTGCTATGTCATTATAAACAATGGCTAAAAACTCCAACGTACGCTTCACTCATTTCAGAGGGGAAGTAGGGTGATAGGGGGGAGGATTGTATTTATAAAGGTAACAGAAGTATTGTTTTCGATGTATTTTTTTACGCTGATTCAAATGAGACCTGAGACCAATCGCAAAACGATTGGACCAATAGTTTAGAATTTATTAGGGTTTTATGTATAAAAAATGTGATGCGTTTTTATTTTATTACTTATTGCTTTTTTAAATAATTATTTTACTTTTAAAAATTGTATGCCTATTTATGCATTTGACATTGCTATCTGAACAAGTGTGGCATTGTTTACTATGAATTTTTTCACGCTAAATCAAATGTACTATGCACAAGCACACGAGTGTATAGTATATGTTCTATCGTCTATTCGTTATATAAACTCATTTATACACCAGGGAATATAATAAATTATTCAGAAGTCGGAAGAGTTTACATGTTAAAAAAGTACTTCACCTGACATGTACATATATTCACACTTAACATTACTATTTAGACACTATTTGAATATGCAAGGTGTTGTTTAAGATGTAGTTTTTTAAAGTTGAATTGAAAGAAACCAATTCCTAGACGATATGACTAATAATTTTGAAGTTATAAGCGTTTTATATACAAAAAGTACAATTATGCACCTGCACATATTAACAAATCTTACGTCGCTTTATAAAGAAGTGTATTTTTACTGTTAAATCGAATGAGACGAAACAAGATTCAAAAAGACTAATAATTCAAAATTTGAAACTGTTTATTTTGTATAAAATGTAAAACTTCTGAATAGCATTTATTAAGAAAAAAATCCTTATAACTTCAGAACTATTAATTCCATCAACTTGAATTTTGTCTCATTCAATTACTTATAAAACTTTTCGCAGGTAAGTGTAACTCGCATGTTCAGATAGCTCTTAGATAGTAATATAAAAAGTGTTCATAAAAAATACTTTTTGTGCATGAAAACACTCTTAACTTCTGATCAATAAATTTTGTTGACTCGTGTATAGTTTCCTTCGATGTATCGTAAAAAAATACAGAGGAAACAATGTCTCACTTGGTTAGATAGGTTGCAAATAGGTACAAGTACCAAGTTGAAAATTTTTGTACATAATATATTTATAACTTTCTAACAATTGATCCAATTCATTGATGATCAATTTGATTCAAAACGAAAAATAATCATGTTTCATACATTACCGGTTTGTCATTTGCCATTATGTGCAATATTCAGGCAATATTAAGTGTTTAATCATTTCATGCGAAGACATTATGTCATGCCTAGGCCAGATTTCCATTGTAGCAATTTCTACAGGATTCGCTCTCGGAGCTCGAGATGGCTTAAAGGATACAGCACTCATTTCCCAGTAAGGTGACGCTGGTTTGTACCTCAACGATGGTTGGTATATAAACGAATTCCGCACCCGGTTAGCATCAACCACAGTCCTACCCTAAAATATCCTCAATGGGCTAGAGTCCTCTTCACAACAGGCTAACCGCGGAAGGTTTTCGTGGTTTTTCTCTCCTTTTAACATAAATGTGGGTTGGTTCTATCCAAAAAGCCCTCCACGAGGGCAAATCTCTCCTAATTTGGGACCCAGGAGATTCCTGGTCTTCCAGATTAAGTTTAAAATTACAAGGTTACAGAGCTGAACATAGGTAGTCGTATACACAAAATTGGGTCGGCTGTTAAATGACGGTTATAATATAAAATAAAAATATTCGAATTAAAATGTATCAAATGTTCATTCTTGTCTTTGCTCTTTAGAAAATTATACAATGGATGATAGTGAGCTTCCCAGTTACGAAACTGCAATAGCAGGTAATTTATAATTTTGTATTTACTGGAAAAAAATACACTTTCAGCTTCAACTCTGAATAGGATTGAGCATTGAACAATTTGTAAAAAACTTATAAATATATCTTTAATTCTTTGCTATATAAAATGCTTAGAACCTAATAAGGCTTATTTCATCCTTTTTTTAAAAAAATATTTTTTATCGTATGAAAACTTTTCTTTAATTGCTATTAATAATCATGTTCTTTTTTATAAAAACATTTCTTTAATTTTTTTTATTATGTGATGAGAAAGTTGAGTGCTAATAATAATGCTATATATTTACCCTCTTTTAACAAGATCAGTAATATGTTTTTATTCGAAATGATGGCTTTTAAAAGCAATTTCTTTGCTATTTCTATGAATACCGGACTTATATACTATTGTTTCATCTAAATTATTTTGATATTCTCCAAACTCTTTCGATAACTTGAAAAAAATACTTTTATTACGTCATTTTTCTAACTTTATTTTATTTATTTTAGGATATATTACATTTATTTGTTCATAAAATCTGCTAATTTTTTTCAATTGGTTGATGTAAATAAACGCTCACGCAGCAACGAAAGCCACTTTGAATTTTATCCATTTCTTTATTAATTAATAACTTTTTTTATGTAAAAGTAAGTTACGTAAGAATATGTATGAAAAATCCTAAGTAAATCAAAATATTTGTGTTTCTTTTTTTCATATTTAAAAGCATTTAATAGTGAGAAAGATTTTATATGTTTAAAGTTCTCCTTTTTCTCATAGTTGAACAAAATGAACAGAAAGCTTGTGGAGATAAGGCATCTGAATTCGATTCTGGTAAGGTTTAGAAATTTCAAATTGTTTTAAGGAAATGTCAGAAAAGCTCTTGAAAAATAAAACACTTCTAAAAAAACTTAAATTATACGTTAAAAAATTAGTTATCAGAAACACGTTATCACTAGAGTTATTTGCTTTCATTTGATGAATACAAAGTTCAGTGTGCTTCTCAAAAAATCACAACAATAACAGCTGCGTGAATATTAAATTTTAATCATTCAAACTTTCATGAATTCATTTAAGTGATATTTAGATTGCTGATTTAACATCATACAGGCAAGGATAATTTAATAGCTTCATTAAGAATAGACCACTTGTTTAAGATGATCTCTTTAATCAAGCACATAATTACCAAAGCTTATCAAACATTACTATTTTAGAAGAAATATTTTAGAAGAAACCAAAAGTATTTTAGAAGAAACCAAAATTATTTAAATAGCCTCTTTTTTGATACTGACCACACATCAATTTTCTCCATTACTCAATCACCAAATAAGGAAAAAAATAATTAAATATTTAGCACACTGCTATGAATGCTTATAAATCAATGGTACTGGTCAATATCAACTGATTTACTCTCAAAATTTAGCAAAACTGCTATAAAATAGTTTCAAAAAAAATAATTGTCGAATTTGAATAACCAATGTATTCAAAACTAACATTGCATATAATTATTGCATATTCATCTGGCGGGAAAATGCTTCTGTTCGCTTGTTGCTGGAATATCTCCAAGTTCATAGTTGGATTCTCTAGCCTCTATTGGAGTTAGGAAGCTTTATATAGCTTTATATACATCATCCATGCCAATTTCTAATTTCAATGGCTCAAAGGGTTGCAATTCGGAAAATATGGATCCAATCGTTTAGATGGGCGATCGATAAATTTAATTTTACTCTATGCTTATTTCGCTGTATCTTAAAATTTTTAAGTGAATGAAATGTATGTCAGGATGGTTCATTGCGTTGGGATCTAAAACCCCTGGAACTAAACTCTCTAAAACCCCTGGATTGGGTTGTACGACTATGGTGATTAGAATATCCTCCTACGAACTCGGAGGTTCTTCGCAGCCAATGACCATCTCTCTTTCTCATTTCTTCATCCACTTGCATTTTGCCCAAAAATGAGTACATGCTGTTTCAGTTTTGAATATATGGGGTTTTCAAATTCGATTATTATTTGTTTCTGAGTTGGACACATTTTTGTTCAATTTTGAGAAACTCTTTTTTAAAGTATAGTTGATAATCTGCTTTACCATTCAAATATTGCACTGCCGATATGGTCAAAGTTACACAAACTTAAATTTTTATGATTTCCTTAGAGAGTTATGCACCAATTGTGTACATCGAACAATCCATTTTACCTTTGACTTCCTATACAATAAATTACTCATGCCCGGAATTTAAATTAGTATTAGTATTTGTATTTTATTACTTACACGTTTTTTAATATCAAGTTGAATTTAGTGTAATATATTTTAGTGTAATTATTTCAGTGTAATTGTCAGTTCCATTAAATTATTATTTTAAAAATAAAATAGTTTTTTTTCTATTCTAAAGTTTATTTTATGTAGTGTAAATAAGTTATTATATCTGTATTTATATTTTCAGATTCTTTTACCCCATCAGCTCCTCCACTGCCAATTGCAGAAGAACCTGAAAATATGTAAGTCCAAGCATTTATTTCTGAAGTTTTCAATTATGTATATAAATTACGGACATTTGAAGTTTTATATTGTGCATAGATTGAAATTTGATTCTAATATTTGAATCTCTTGACAATTTTATCTTAAAGTTATTAAAATATTTCTCGAAGTTGTAATATATATTGAAAAAGAAAAACTCGGTTCCTTTGAATCTAAAAGATTTGTTTGACATTTGTGAATATTTTTTAAAACATATTGAGCACACGGTCTAAAAATTGAAAAAACCTCTCATTTCTGGACATGAGGCAAGAATTAAGGTATATGACTAATGCAAAAACATGATTTCGGACAAAATTTTTGAAATTGAGTATATTATAAATTTTAATCCCTGTACTCTTAGCTTTCTTAAAATACTTTGTTTGTACTCTAATTATTTACAAAGTTATAGCAGTTTTTGTGCAAGGTGATGACAGTGGACTAATGAGTTTAAGTCTTTAAATGCATTTATCTCAAAGTCAGATTTTTTAAGATTTTACACCACCTTAAAAACGATATCTTATGCTGTTTTTAAAATAATTGTCAACAATTTTTCATGAGTGTTTATGATTATAGCACACATGTCTTGAACTACAGACTAAGATAAAAAAAATTTAGAATTAGATTTTTTTGCATGTTTTCTCATTTCAAGGGCAGAATTTTTTTAAAAATTTGCTTTTTTAACTGCATTAATCCCTAACTCAGTAGTATATCCACTTGTTCTTAGAATAAAAGTTCAAAATATAATTGATAGCCTTCTAATCAAAGGATTTTTTTTTTGTCTTAGGCTTTATAACTTGTTTTACAGTGTTTAGCGTATATGCAAAATAATGACTTATTTTTACCTAAAAATGGCCATATAAAAAGAAAATAATTTAGTAAGATAATTTAGTGAATTAGAAAAAGAAAGTAATTTTTTTGTTAATTTTATAAGATTTGATACAGAATTATAAATAACTAGTTTCTTTGAAATTTTACATTAATATTGAAAAAAAAAGTTGACGAAACTATTCAAAATCATTTCTGAAAATATTTGGTTCATTATATTTTAATTCACATTATGTTATTTAAAGGCTTTTGTTAAAGGCTTTTGACGTTTAAATACAAAGAAATATTTTATGAAAAAAGTGTAAGTTAAATTTCAAAATATTTATCTTAAGCTGTACCAGCATTTTTCTCAGATGATTGTCATCTATCTCTATAGTTAAATGTTAAAAATTAGATTCTAGGAAAATAAAGTTAATTCGTTCACACTGTCGTGTTGTTTTTGCTTTATTAGATTCAGTGAACTGACTGATGAAGAAATTAGAGAAGTATGTTTTAGGTATGCAGAAAAAAATTTCGCCAAAAAAGGAGCCACTGCAGTTAAAGAAATGAAAATAAAGAACGTATACCGCACTTGCTCATTTCATGTAAGTTTATTATAAACGTTATTTTTTTTTTGTATCAATAAACTTCTGAAAACATTTTAAGTATCACTTTTTATTCCTTTTTTTCCAGTACAAGCTAGAAACATTTACCGAAAAGAGACAAGTTGCGACAGGACATTCGCATTATTACAGTGAGTGTTAAATAAAAAATACTATATTTAATGATAAAAGAAAACAAATTTTATCTCGTAATTGAAATTTTGATAGTTATTTTAGATATCTCGGATTGATTAAAGCCACAGTAGAGATTATTTTTTAAAATTTGACTATCATTGAAATAGATCTTTTAACCCTTTCCTTCTAGCTCCCTTGAAAATGACGGGGTGAGGTTTCGCCCTCTATTTCTCGCTCCCTTGATATTGACGGGCTGGAGCGTTCATTAGTAACGCACCAATAAGAATAAAACTAATTATATTTCTTTTGCCTGGAAAACATTTTATTTCTCATTTTACGCACCAGATGGCAGTACCAGGATATTTTTAAGGTGATTGTAGAGAGTTAATTTATTCTAAAGTAGATGTCAGCAATAATCAAATACGTAATACAAATACAAAAGGCAAAAAATAAGGCACTTTTATGACCGTTTTCTTGAAAATTAACCGATCGCTATGGGGTTAAGTGACAATTTAAATAGTGTTAAAAAAACTAACTATATTTATTTAAATTCATTTGTTTAGATTGACTTAATTGATAGCTTGAGTACTGTTGAATAGTTAATTTTAAGTTAAGTATGTATTTAGAATAATTTTGTATTTTAATGGCAATTAAAACCTAGTTGCGAAAATTATAGACATTTATTTTAGATGCTTTCAAAGATTGCTGTGGAAATTCTGAATAAAAACGGTGCTATGGTGCCGTATACTAATTCTTTGAAACGGAGCTGGCCTTTTCTTGAGCAATATCATATTTATGTTACCGTGAACGGCCGAAATTGGTTGTTGACTTGGAATTGGATTGGTTGTTGCCCGGTATGCCCTACACTAATGGTTTTTGTAAGGTTCAGTGCCACTGCCCGGTATGCCCTACATCAATGTTTTTTTAAGGTAAAGTGCCACTGCCCACTGTGTATTTAACTCGTAATTCGAAAGCTGCTGTTTCTCTCAAAACACGGTGTATGTGAAAACGTTATGTTTTGCTGATTTTGTGTTTTATTTTTTAGTTAATGTAAAATTTTTTATTAATGATTTTATCATTATGGCTTTTATCATTGACATTAATTTTAAGCACATATAATATTATAGATTCTCTTAGGGTGTTTTTATTCACTAGTTAAATTCAGATTTTTCTTCTTTTTTTATTGTTTCTTAGTCATATTCTCCTTTCTGTGATGTAGTTTCTAGCAACTGTTGACATTTTTCTTTCGTGTATAACATCGCAAGTTTATTTTAATGCAGCATATTCACATCTATTATGCAGTAATAAATTTATTCATTCTCAATTTTCAAAATTCTAAAATGTCCTTTTATTTAGCTCTCGGTCAGTTTTCGATGTCACTTAACACTTCTATTTTGATCGAGAAAAAGATTTTTTAAAAAAGTTTTTAGTGGCTTAAACGCTGACGTTGCGGCAGGGTCAATTTATTACAGTTGCAAACATGGATGGTATGTAGGGCATATCATAAAGATTGAGAATTACCTAACAATCCGTATCCGGGAATGACATCTTATTCTGTTTGAGGCACCTCCCGAATAATTTAAAATACAACTTTTATTTACCTAAATTATCTTAATTTTACGTGAGTTTAATGTTTTCTTGTAATTATTGTCAATGATTTCATTCAAGTTGAACAAAAGCAAGCTATTTTTCATAATTTAATGATTTGGTGCGGTGAGTGTCGACAATGATTTAGTGTGTGGAGTCGACAATGTGAACCTTCATCTAAGAAATAGACTTCACTTACTTTATTTAACAAAAGCTGGGCACCTGGGCCGCGCAGAAGACCCATATCCCATTCATCGTGAAATTACAGTAATATTAAGAAGTATAAGAAGTTTGTATACAGAGTCTTTGGGATGACTGGGGGTCCAAAATAGAATCGAGTTAACATATTTTATATATACTAGTGAATTGGAATTGTAGTGGTAGACACGCTGCAGAATTCCCCCACCAGATATTTATCTGCGATAGAATTCGAAGAACGGATACCACTAGTTCATTCATAGCCGTTTTTGTGAGAATTCGGGATCTGTATTAAGATCACCGAAGTTTGAGTGCTGATTGTGAGAGCTGTAATAAGTTCACGGTCGCTCTTATGATGCCATTAGCATTTCAGAGTTTACAGGCCGTTGTTGAGGGTGATCGAGACTCAGTAAAAACAGCACAATGAGAAAAATGTCACAAATAGTCAACTGTTCAATGTGGATCATCCATCGAAGTAGGCGTGTTCAAATCGAAGTGGGCGTTTCCGTAGAGGAAAGCGTATTCAATTCGAAGTGGGCGTTTCAGCCGAGGAAAGCGTGTTCAAATCATGTTGGCAGGTAACAAATGATAGGGAAAGTGCTATCGACAATGTCAACCTTCATCTATAAAAAGGTTCCCTGAGGTAGAATTGAGTTAATATGTCTTATATACTAGTGAGTTTGAATTAAATAATTGTAGTGGTAGACAACAGCTACAGACTAACTTCGCCAAGTTGAACATCGAATTATTAAATTACTATAAAACTGCCATTTCTTGGCCTATTTAAATGCAAATTCTGAAAATAATAGTTAGAAAACACAAAATTATCATAAGAATTAAAATAATTTAGTCAGTTTATATTCAGAAGTTTGCCCTGGGGGGCACGTAAGAAAAATTTCCGGAAATAAGTTGCTAGTTGCTATGCAATTTTCAATCCTAATGATACGCCTCACCTCCTTTTCTAGTTTATAACTATTGCATATATAACACGTATTTTGCTTATTTTGTGTGCAGAACAGATCATAGATGGACCTAAAAATGGACCAGAGCCTGATATTTGGTGTATAACAGCTGAACCTCCAAGTCACTTCCAGGATTACAATGAGCCAATAATAATACCTCATACAGAACAGGTTAAAACATGTCATCAATGTGATGGTCGGGGAAAAGAAGACTGTTTGATTTGTGAAGGAGCTGGATGGGTAAGTGTTTTTTCGTGTCCTTTACATTCTATAACATATTCATGTTTGTTAAAGCGTTTTAACAATAAATGCAAATTTAAAGCATGCTTGTTTTATTTTACTTAGTCTCGCGATATCGGCTATATTTTGGCATTATTGCGATCTTTTTTTCTTCCCCAATACTGTAGTTTCTTGCAGTCCAGAGTTTTCTGAAATTTTCTTTCTCCAAGCAGGCATCGCACTTGGGAGCACTAACTTTTCCTTGCTTGGATTTACTTTTATTTAAAAAAAAAAGAAACTCATATCGAAACTAATCCACAGCTATAAAAAGTTAATTAAACAATAAAAATTATTAAACAATAAAAGTAATTAAACAAATAAACAATAAAATATTATGGTGTCCACGCTGGTACTCTAAACCAAGTTCCGTTGACAGATTAGCCCTTCCGGCTATAAAATACACTATTTACTAATAAGTATTTGGACACCCATGCAAATGACTATATCTGCGATCCTGAGATATGCCACGCCCTCTTAGTATGGATTTGGACCAACGGTCCCCATTCATGGTAAGCTCAACGAAGATGCCTACTGCACTATTTTGGATGACAATTTGCTTCCTACGTTGTGTCAGTTTTACGGGGTGGACCCCTGTTACTTCCAGGACGACAATGCCGGCTGTCATGCTGCGAGGGTCACCAAGGTTTGGTATGGTTGTGGGGGTTAATCGAATGGACTGGCCTGCCCAGAGATCAGACCTGAACTCTATCGAGAACCTCTGGGATGAGTTGGATCGCGGAATTAAGGGGTGTACTACCCGTCCGAAAATGGTAAAGGAACTTAAATGTCTTCTCCAAGTCGAGTGGAAAAAAATACCACTAGCCGTCACTCAAGAACTTGTGGAAAGCATGGCCCAGAGCAGTGTTTCCCAAACTGTGGTACGCGTACCCCCAGGGGTACGGGAACAGTTTAGCAGGGGTACTCGTGATTATGCGAAATAGCTTGCAACAAACGAAAATTTCAAAAACTTTTATTTAAAAACAAAGCTAGCCATGAAAATTTACGGTTACCTGTTTTTCTATTGGCTATTTTTTGCAGAGTTAACAGTTAATAATTAGTGGTGACAGCAGCCAGTTGTGATTTTGAACTTTTGTGAAATTTTTTTATAGTAAAAAATACATTCATTTTTTTTTAATAGTGGTACATAGCGTTACGAAAAATTTAGAAAGGGTACACAAAAGTCATAAGTTTGGGAAACACTGGCCCAGAGGGTTCACGCTGTAATTGCTTCTCGTGGAGGCTCTACCAACTTTTGATTATGAATATAGTTTGTTTTCCTTTTCAATCACACGTGTCCAAATACTTATTGGTAGATAGTGTATACCCATCTGCAAAGATCTAAATGGCTTCCTTAGGTGAGCCTAGTTAGTGAGATAAAATTCTGGTTGCTTAACCTTATTTGGTGAAAGCAGTTAATAGAGATTTTTCTCACAGTTCGAATAAAGTACCAAAGCTGGGATCCAATTCCCACACAAGCAACATCTCTATTCAGAGCTCCAAAAAATCGCTAATAAAAGCGTTAAATATCTATTTGTTCTACCCAATTCTTAATAAAAACAGCATGTAACACCCCAAGGCATCCCTGGTGAGTCTTTTCCGGCCTCTGGGAGGCCCCTTTTTCCGTTTTCAAGTTTTAGATTTNGTCGATAGTGTAAACCCATCTGCAAGGATCTAAATGGCTTCCTTAGGTGATCCTAGTTAGTGAGATAAAATTCTGGTTGTTTAACCTTATTTGGTGAAAGCAGTTAATAGAGATTTTTCTCACAGTTTGAATAAAGTCTTATTTATGATTATTTGACTGTTTTATTTGAATATGGTAAAATAACAAGTAAATAAATTGTTATTTAACCATTTTTTCCAAGAAATTTCTAACAGTTTAGTAGAGTTGTTTCAGGGAGTCAGAACATTTATAACAGAATTATTTGGAATATATCTTATAAATGCTTAACCTGTTTTTCGCTAATATTTGGAGGGTATCAGAAAATAAACTGATTCAGTTGTTCACCATTTTGCTAATATGGCCTATAAAAATATACTTGGAGCTTATCTAGGATTGGCTGTATTTATATTAAAATAGGGTATCATTCAAAAATTTGCTACCAAATAACACGTAGTAACTAAAATCTGTCACGCAAAATATAAACCAGATTTTTAACACTTATTTTAGAATTTGGAGTAGGAAATTTTTTAGATGTATTTGCTTTTCTTTGGTTATCAATCCCAGTGAGTTAAAAGCTTTTTGAACATATTTGGTCTCGATGTCTTCAAAAAGGTATTCAAATTCCAATACACATGTATAAACTGTGAGTTTATACCTATTTTTCATGAAAAAGGCAAGATTCAGCATTCCTTTTAATGCAAAATAAACATGCTACAAAAATTTAAAAATACTTGACACTGATTATGCGAGTATAACTTTTATGTTTCACTGTCAAAATCTCTTATGAACTTTTCAAATTTCAGATAGCATATTTCCTTAAAGTTCGCAAAGAATTTTAATATTTTTTGCTGCAAAGGCGGCAATAAAATTTTTTGAAATTATAATAGACAGAAGGAAATAAACTTTAAAAAAAGGAGAAATGAGTTACTTAATCTTTAGTACAAAACTTAATTTTAACGTATATTAAATTTAAAAAAATCTTTTAATTGATTGTTTGATTTGTGAAGTATATTTAAGGAAATTATTATTATAATATTAAAAAAATAAGTTTAACAAAAATTGCTAGGTTCAGAAAATAATCATGACGACTTCAAGTTTAATTATTTTAAATTTAAGTTTTATGTCTAAAAGTTATTTTGAATTGATCACGAAATTAATGCCCGAAAGCATATACGCTGAAATAACTGAAAAAACGTCACCATAAGTTTAATGAGGTTGCTTCATTTGAGATAGATTTAGAAAATTTTTAGCATATTTGCATGAAAACGGTAAATTTTTTTTAACCCCTTCCTTCTCGCTTCCGTGAAAATGACGGGGTGAGGTTTCGTCCTCTATTTCTCGCTCCCATGAAATTTTCGGGCTGGAGTGTTCAGTAGTAACGTGCCAATAAGAATAAAACTAATTCATTTCTTTTGCCCGGAATTATTTATTTTTATTTTTCATTTTACTCACCAGATGGCAGTACTAGCATGTTTTTACGATAATTTAGATAATTAGTTTATTTTAAACTAGATGTCAGCACTTATCAAATACATGTATTTGGCAAAATAGGCACTTTTATGACCGTTTTCTTAAAAATTAACCGATCGTTAAGGGGTTAATAAAACTTACAGAACAAACACTGATAGGACGAAAATGACCTTAGTTGTTTATGCTAGTGAGCCTTCTGCTGATAAGATAAATTTAATAAAATGAAATATTTCAATATTTTATTTATTACAGAGTTATTGCAAAATATGCTCTCCTACTACAGAAAACAGGTGTACGTATTGCAGATCTGGTCGCGTGAGGTCAGTATCATTATTTCATATATCTAAGTGAACTTTCAATTTAAGTTTTTTATGCGCAGTAGATGTGTTACAAGAAATGCTTTTAGATAAATGTTTAATTTTTAAAATTAATTTTTAGGTTTATTAAAATTTGTGTGATGGATTAAGGCTTGTAATTTTTTACGTCTAGTAATTCATGATTTTATTCTTGTGTATTCAAGATATTGGTAATGATAATATTATAAATGACACAGGAATATAGCCTTTTTGGCTATAAATGAAGACAACTGAATTTTAAAATATATCACATTTAAGAGTTAAGTGCTTTGCTAAAACTTGTAAATGTATAAAACATTTCCTAGCACTTCATTTGCATTCATAGTTCTAGAATATGGAAATTTTATGTACGATTTATTTTAATATTGTGAAAGTAGTCTCTGGTCTCGTAAACCAAATTTTTATGGAAAAAATATATTTTGTTTACTTTATTTTTAGAAAAGCAATGATTTCAGTTAATCAAAAAATTTTTTTTTATCTAATCCTTATACTTATCTTTATTTTTGATGGTTGTCTTTTAAAAATAATTCAAAAAAATTCATTATTTCATTATAAATTAAAAAAAAGTTTAATAATGAAGCATAAGCTTGCGCTTAGTAGTTCTCTTTTTATTGCAGTTGTGATCCTTGTAATAAGACAGGAAGAATTAAATGTCGTACTTGCGAAGGATATAAGAAACTGAAGCATTACAAAGAACTAAAAGTCTCTTGGTAAGAGTCAAAATTATTTCAGTTTCAAAAATATTCATTAATAAGGCTTCAAATAAGGAAAATAAATTAAAGAACAAGCATTTTAAATAACTTTTAAATATAGCTAGTTTCTAATAAATTATTTTAATTAATAATCAATAGTATATGAAAATAAATAATACTAATTTTAATAAATTAAGTAGCTTTTGTTTAAATTGTAGAAAGGCTCATCCCATTTAATGCAAGGTAAAAATTTTGTAGGCATAATAATGCATATGTAAAATATTGTTTGATGAAATAAAGTGAATATTATTGATATCAAACATATATTCAGTATAAACGTTATCATGCTCAAGACCTTTTAAGTGAGATTTTGCTCACGCAATTAGTTGCTGGCAAAGACTTTATTAATGTAATTTATTTCTATGTATATAAGTACAGAAGATTATTATTTTTGGTACCAGTACCCTCCCCACAGATTGATATAAATGAAAAATGTGTACAAACGATTTCATAATCAAATTGTTAAAGGGGTTTGTTTCATCTTCTTTTATTAAAACTCACATTTTTTAATTTAATTTTATATTAAAAATACTAAGGCATAGTTCTGATATAGTATTATTTTTATTCTGAAAGTGTTTTATAATTTTTTTAATATCGCTCATTTAAATATATAAAGAACTTTTCTACTTTCTCGCTATATTTTTTTGCCTCGATCTCTTGTAAGTTGTCAGCTCTTTTATTTAAGGTTTTTCTTTTAATTATTCGTTTTTTTATACAATTAGAACTCTCTTAAAGAGTATTGCTCGATTAAACCTAAAATTCTGTTATATTCATATAAAGTTTAAATTATTTTAGCGATAGTTTACGTTTTAAATATTATTAATCATAAAAATGTAATAAATTTGTTTTGGGATTACTTGAAAGTTTTATAAGAGGCAATTTTTTTTTGTTATTTTTGCGTATTATGATCAATATAGTTACTTTTATTTTATTTCATAACAGTCGTTGAACAGCCGACCCAATTTTTTGGGTTTACGACTACTAACGTTCAACTCCGTAGCCTTGTAATTTTGAACACAATCCAGAAGACCAGGGAACGCCTGGATTTAGTATTGGGAAAAATTTGCCTTCGTGGGGGACTTTTGGAAGGAACTAACCCGCCTTTGCGTTACATGGATAGGAAAACAACGAAAACCTCCCACGGATAGCCTGGCGGCAAGGGTACTCTAACCCATTATCCGTCTACTAATGAGGATATTTTACGTCAGCACTGTGGTAGGCGCAAGCCGGATTCGGAATTCGTATCGACCAGCCATCGCTGGGATTCGAACTCGGTTCACATCATTGGAAGGCGAACGCTCTATCTCTGGAGCCATCACTGCTCCAATATAGTTACTTGTCAAGTATAGAAATGTAGTGAAATCATAGCAGTAATTGCCACATTATAGTCATCATAATTGATTTTTTTAACACAGTACTTATTGTTCTCATAAAATTTCGAGGTTGTAAGCATTCTTTACTTTTGAAAACTTTCCTTAAAATGACTTTATAAGAAAGTAATCCTTTGAGTATGATATAAAATAAATTCTGTGAATTTTTATATGAAGTTAAAATATTTGCACTATATTTGTGTTTTTATTTAATGCAACAAAATGTATTGCAAGCTATATAACTATACATAATTATAAACAGATCAAAATAATTATTCATGTTTTTATTCTAGGCAAACGCATATTGATCACTTCGTACAGAATACGACTAAAATACCAGTTGATCTATTACAAAACTCAGCTTGTAAAGAAATATTCCGTGAAGAACGACCAACGGTTTGTTCAAATAAGCTCATTTAATTAGTGTAGCTAAAGTGAGCAGTTTTAAATAAATTTAAGCAACAGTTAAACATAAAAAAAGTTTCTTTTTTTTAAAAATAATGTTGAAATTGGTATGAATTGAAGTAATATTAATATCTACTTTGCAAGGTTTATTTCTGCTTGACCGAATCAAATTTTTCTTTGTAATTCTCTTTAAATCTTACAACAAAATATTGTAATATTGATGTATTTGATGATATTTCTTTCTAGTTGTTGATTGTTTATTTTTTTGTTTTTAAACTGAGATTTTATTCTGATTTATTGAAGAAATTATGGTTTGAAATTTGTTTTGGCAATTCTAGAACAAAAAATTGTCATTAGGAACCTCAATTGCCTGTTTGTTTACGGAAAAACTAACTAAATGTTGTTTTGTCGTAATATTAAAAATATCTTTTTGTCGCCCTACTAATAAAAGTTAGCTTTTTATACAAATGCCAACCTCCTAAAATGTAAAATTATCGAGAAACATTTTATTTCATTTCAAAATCCGTGAAATGGTTCAATTTTATGAATGAGAAAAGAATTGAAAAGAAAGTAGTGCTTAAAGGTACACCGAGAAAAAGTCAGGTAAAATTACTGCATATATGGCGATGACTTTTCCAAAAGAAAACAATAACAACATTATAATTCTGCTAACAGAATAAAAAAAAAATGGTATTTTAACCCCTCATTTGGTAATAGTTTAGCGAAAATTCTGTTTTTAAAAATCATAGTTCTTATTGCCACATATTTTATTCAAAAATACAAAACTGATAAGCAAATTTTTCCAAATAAATGGTTTCTATGCCATGCTCTAAAGTATTATCATAAAAATTACAAATTTTACCACATTTATCAAATTTCATCACGCATTGAAAAATCATGTTTTTATTGTAAAATTTACCAAAATCATTACCAAAGTGATTTGGTATACTTTCGGTAGTGAGCACAATAATTCACGGTAGGCTAAGTAACACGCATCCGTTTTCTTACTTAATCTTAGTCGCATTCTGGACGAAAAAGTGTATAAAAATTTAACAATTTATATTTAGTTGGTTAAATAATTAAAATTTAATATATCGTTTGATTTTTATTATGTAAATTGTATTGTTTCAGATTATGTAATAAAACTTTTTCAAGGTACACTAACTCTCTTTATGAAACATACAGCATAGTATATCAAAGTCGTTTAAAATTTGGTTAAAGTGTCAAATTAAGATCTATAATTCGCGATATTCATAAAGCGTCGAACAAAGATCTATAATTCGTCGAACGTATGAAGGCGATTTAAGGCCAGATCTTGGTCACATTGATAACGATACTTCAGAACAATTATACATTGAGACGAAATCGTCTTCTAATGAAGAGCCGAGTATTTCAATGCTACTTATCATTGAATATTTTCAATTAAAGCCATTTCAAAGAAGATAGAAAGGAGAAAAAGTCCAGCTCTTCGAATACGTAACTGACGCGGGAAACTGCTCTGGGCTTTATGCTATACCAGGAAAACAACTTACAGAGTAAGCAACATACTCAGACTTAGCAAAACATTATTTGTACTAAGATCCAACGCATAAGAAGATAAGTGACAGCCATGAGGTACGTCACCTGTGAACCAGTTGTTGGACAGCTCTACATAAACGGTTGGGTACACTACCTCCCACACCAACATTTTATTCTTTCCTTCGATGTCAAAATGTGTTAGCAGATTTAATCAACATGGATGATATAAATGTATCTTCAAAGAAATATCTTAATTAATAGTACAGTACTGTTAACAAATAGTGCAAAAAGGCAGAACAAACCAGCAATAACTAAAAAGAGAAAACCTTTCTCCTTCTCCCCAACCCCAGTACTGGTTTAGGGAGGGGAGGGTGAAAATCCGTCCCAAGAAATAATTCCTAGATGCTGTTTTTTTCTTTTCTACATACGGATCACACCAGATCTTAGAGGATTGATTTACACTATGCCTATGGAAGCTAGCCTTCTTCCCCTATGTGTATTCTTTGGTTATATCTAGCAGTTAAAAACGGTTTAGTTACTCGATTTTGTAAAAAGTACAGTGTATGGGGGAAAACACTAAATGTAAAATTGAGAAGCATTAGTGGTTTTCTTGAAATGTACCTTGTGTACATACAATGCACAAAAAAAAGAAAGAAAACATGGCCTACTTTTGATCAGGTGATCTGATTTTAAAGTACTAAAATACAATATTAATAGTTCGAACAACATACCTTAAATTTTTTAATAAATAAGTGCATCAGAAAAAAATATCTTCTTTAATAAATATAACTTTTCTTTATCTTCAATTTGGAATTTTTCACCCTCAAAATAAAACTTCAATCTTCACATCAACATATTCAGAAAATGATACTCAAGACAATTTTAAAACTTGTTTGTTCAAAGATGGTTTTGTCCTCACTGTAGAAAAAAAATATTTGTATTTTTTGCTAATTTTTTAAATTTAATTTAAGAGCAATAGAAAATTGTTTTGTAAAAATTAACTATTCTTTATTTGAACTACCAGGTTCCTCCAGTAGAAAATTTCCCATTCATAATCAAGGAAGCCTCTCTTCAACTTATTGAAAAGCACAAAAAGATTTTATCAAAAGGAGAGGTCATCCGCCTGCAGGTAAGCATTATTTTTCTGCATACTATTTACAAGATGGTTAGATACTAAAATTACTTGAAAAAAATATACACAAACATTTCATTTCTAGCGTGACGTCAATTTGATTTTGATACACAATAACACATGAAAAAAGAAATAAGTAAAGTTATGTTGTTTGCATTACTTTTTTTTGCACAGTTTATAGTTTTAATTCTGTTTGCATTATTATTTACACAGCTTATCCTAACAGAAAGAAAACTAGCCGTTTATATCACAGGAAAGAGATAACAACAACTCTGGAACATAATGAAACTTTTCAACATTGCATGAAAAATATTAAATTTTGCGAAAGAAAATGTTCGCAGAAATATATTAAAATAAATATAACTATATATTAATAAATATAACTATATAATATGTTGTTGTTGTTTCTAATGGCACTTGCCGCACTAGCCGCATTTATGGCAGAGGGTGCGTTTCTTGCTTTTCAGTGATTCCATCTATGGCCAAGAATTCGTTTTCAGCCACACACACGTCACACGTTCATAGAGCGGACCCATTCATACATTCATTCATTCATCCACAGATCGTAATTTCTGACCTGGATCAGAAAACGATCAATCTCCAATCCAGTACAGCCAGAGGTATTGATATGTTACGGGAACATGAAGGACTTTGAGACTCGACAGATTTAACGTGCATCAGTCACCATTTACTACACGGGGAGTCTTCGGCAGGCCGGGTTCGAACCCATGAATTCTTGAACATGGGTCCACCACCCTACCGACCAAGCTATCCCGGCCCACTATATAATATAACTAATATAAATGAGCATTAAATAAATATTAATGTGCAGTTATTACATGTAAAAGCAGCTTGCTTTATCTATTCTATTTGTCTTACTCGTTATTGCGTGTCAAAATTTTTATTCACTATTATTTCGTTCTGTATTATTTTCAGAACTCGCAATACTAATGAAATACTTCATGCTTTTATAGTTTTTGTTAATAAAAAAAAGTAGTAACTTCTAGTTCACAAATTTTCCGTGATGATTATTTTTCACACTCTGTAGATTTATTTTTTTATGAAAAATTAATATACTTTATATTTAATTATTTACGTGAAATAAGGGGATAAAGGGGCTAAGGTAATGAAATTAATGGAAAAAATAAATTATAATTCTGGTATTAAAAACCAAAGTATACGGTATTTAAACCATTCATTTAGTACTTTTTCTGTTCATATGGTAACGGTTTCCCAGAAATTCTGGTTTTGAAAATAATAGTTTTAATTACCATACGTTTAGTAAAAATACAAAACTTTAAGGTAAATATAACTGACCAAATGGTTTTTATGCTATGCATTTAGGTATCATAATGAAATTACCAAAGTTTATCCCAGATTAAGAAATTATATCTTATTGTTGGTTTTTCCAAAATCATTACTTAAGCACTTCGGTTAAAATTATCGATAATTTTTGGTGTTCCCGAAGAGTCAGTAGCACGATAAATTTTACCTTGTTCTGGTAGTTTTAAACATCCTTTTTATTTTTTCAGAGTAGGGATAACGTTTGAATCAAATACTTCAAAGAATCTTGAATTCCATACAATTATGAAAATTTTAATTCATGCAATATATTATTTCAGTGTTTGGAGTTACCACAATTTAAAGTAGTTTATTCCTCCATTAACTCATATAAAAAACAAAGAAATATGTAAGAAAATTTAAAAGAAAAAATGGCATGACAGACTGAAATTATTTGGTAAAACACATCTTTCTCCTTCGTTAACTATGAAGCATAGATAATGCAAAACTATAGAGTAGTTGGCTTTCCAAAATGAACTCTTTGCATTTTACCTCTCATATTTCTGCACAATTTCTAGTAGCTTAGTCTGTTTCAGCTTTTTATCGCCAACGCTAAAGAAGAATTTCTTTTTAGTAATTTGTAATCATGTATGTTTAAGAGTTCATATTTATGATTGTTCACCCTCTTGATATTTCAGTCCGTTGTTGCAAAATTGAAAAAGAAAATTTCATCGTTTTTTTTTTCACAATAAAAGCATCAGTGCTTTATATAATAAAATAGCATTTAGACTACTTCACGTTTATTTTTTGTACTATTCAATGTAGTTCAATTTTTTTTTTAGTATGCTTACTATACTTCATACAGGATTTGTACGATTCCTGAAAGACGATCCACCGCATACTGTTTGCTTTATAATCATCATTCATAATATAAATTTATTGCAACTTTTCTAAACATGAAATAAGAAAATGACCATTATTGTCGCATTCAATTATAATTTTATTTCATAATTTTATAACCGTCGTTGAAAAGCCAACCCAATTTTGGGGTTTACGACTACAAATGTGCAACTCAGTAGCCTTGTAATTTTGAACCCAATCTAGAAGACAAAGGAACTTCTCTAAGAAATTTGCCTTCGTGGAGGACTTTTTGATGGAAAAAACCCGCTTCTGCCTTGCATGGAGAGGAAAACCACGAAAATCACTCACTGTCAGCCTGACGGTAAGGGGACTTCAACCCATGATCCGTCCACCACTGAGTATATTTCACGTCAGCACTGTGGTCGGTGCAAGCTGGATGCGGATTCGTATCGACCAGACGTCGCTGGGACTTGAACCCGGTTATTTGAAGGCGAACGCTCTTTCCCCTGAGCCATCACGACTCTCAATTATAATTTGGAATCTTCAAGATTTCAAATTAACATTATAAACGAGGAAGAAACGAAAACGTTTTCAAATTCTGTGGTATCATTAGCGAGGGAGGCAAATTTTTTTAAAATTTAAATTTTTCTTTATTTCTGTTCATGAAAAGAAGGTGAAAAAGACATTCAATATTATTCTAAAAATCGAACCTGTTTTGATGCCTTAGTTCCGTCATCTTCAATAGTGATAGAAGGAATAGTTAATTTTAATTTGCAACCCTTATTGTGAATACAGTTTTTGACTCGTGAAGGGTTGAGAATTTTTAAGAAAGTTTTTGAAACATAATATTAAGGGTGGTAGCTACGGTACAACGTGGCTACCAAGCATAATAAATATCAAAATATCAGGTTGAGTTTTTGATTAATCGCATTATTATATGGAGTAAAAAATATTTTTTTTGATAATGTTCGTGATGTATATTTAACTCAAAAACAAGCGAATTAAATTTATTTCTTTTAAAAAATTCTCATTTTGCTTACAATTTATTTATTAAAAATCTGTTTTGTTTCAGAGGCACACTTTACGGGCTGTTCCCATTACAAGAGTGAACTGTGAATACAAGGATGAAGAATTAGAATTTTATGTGTTCGGCTTGGAAAATAGCGTGTATTTTATAAATAGTTTATCGAAATCATCGAGTTGTTGCATCAGCTAAAGAGCAAACTAATCGGTGCTTTTTTTAAAAGTATTTGAGTGAATTTATGAAAATTGATGATTTTACTCAAAATTTAATTTTATTGCATCTTTCTTGCTGAATATAGAACAGTGTATGTATTTATTTAATAAGTTCTATATTTTATTACTTAATAAAAAAATGCTTTGATTATTGTCATTACGTGGTGTGGTATATCACTTTAATTTGTGCTTTTTTGAAAAAAATAATTATTTAATTCATGGAATTATTCTCAATTATGTGAGAGGTCTATGAAGACTACGGTTCCTGAAAAATTGCAAATGGAGAGAAAAATAATTTGCTTTTAGGTTCCTCAAAATTTATCATATGACTCATCACTAAAAGGAAGAGTATCGGAAGGAGAAATTATTTAAAGGTAGGGACTAGCGTCATTATTTCTGAAACTCTAACTGCTCATGAAACGCACCATACCATTTAAACACAGCAAGAAGAGAAGGTTAGGGTTTTTGAAGACATTGCTCGGCGTTCATATTGGTGAAACGAATACATACCGAGAGAAAAATATTGAATCGAGTATATTGAATATTGAATCCAAAGACATCGACCTAGAGGGAAAGAAGATAGTTAGGTTCAATACACAATAGTTAGGTTCAACACTGTTTTACAAAATTTCTTTTAGATGTGAATCTTAGAGGACTCGGGGCCCATCATGACAATGCATGTCCTTAATCGGCAATTGGTGTCCTTGAACAAAAACATATCAAAGTAAAAGAGAGTTTACACCGTAAAAAAAATCCTGAAATATATATGAATTCATGGAGCAGTTACGATGCAGGTAGTTTTCAAAATTCGTTTCTTAATATTTCAGAAATCTCTTGTGGGGCCCAGCTACCAACAATGTTAACCATCTTCTATCCGAAGGAATCTCAAAACAGAATCGGGTTGACATGACTTATATACTAGTGAATTAAAATTTAATAGTTGTAGTGGTAACCAAGCTGTGTAACTCCCCTAACCAGAATTTTATTTGTGATAGAATTCGATGAATGGATTCCTCTAGTTCATGGGTCGCCAAACTTTTTTCATCATCGACCCCTATATAATTTTTCGAAGTCTCCATCGACCCCCATAAAAGTAGTTCTCCGTTAATTAAGATAAAACTCTATTAGATACTGTGTTTGTACATTTATTTTATGATTTAAACATTTATTAAAGTAATAGTACATTGTGTAACAATAGTTTTATGAAAAATATATTAATGTTGAAATTTAAATACCTTAATATTTATTAAATAATAAGTAAATAGAAATAATAAGTAAAGTAACTACAGATTTATTGCTTCTTGACCAATGAGATGAGTGTGCCTGATGTTTTTTTGCAAGGTTCGCTATATTGGGTTCAAAATTGGTCAATTTTAATTTTAAATCCCCTCGTAACTCCACATTAAATTTATTTCTGTACTTAGTTAAGATTGAATTTACGTGACTGAAACCAGCTTCAACCATATGGGAACTTGGAAAAGCTAGCATAAAAAGGCTGAGCTATTTCATAAAATTCTACGAATTTTTGCATTATATTTATATTTGTTCAAAATTTACTTATTGTTAAACTTTTAAAAAGCGTCTTTGATTCAAGATCCGATAATAATTCAGCAAACTCATCTTGCAGGTTGATGTCCACGTTTTTGATGATGCGTTTATTAATTTATGTTCCATAAAGAAACTAATATTGAGTCAATTATAAAAAAAATCGCAAATTTTACATACTCAATTAGATATTTGGGATTTACGTATTAAGAACTGTTTTTTCTTCGACCCCCTGGCTCAGATGGATCCCCACTTTTGTTAAATAGACCCCTGGGGGTCTATATAGACCACTTTGGCGACCTCTGCTAGTTGATACATTGCTATGTCTTATATAAAAGTGTGTTATCCACTTACGGGTTTAAGTTAAAATGTTATTATTCTTTTTAATGATTATAAGAATAAAACTTTGAGAAACTTTGAGAAGTGGTAATTTTCAGATTTTTTTTAACCTTTTTTTTAAAAAGAAATATTTTGTAATATCGCTGGAGTAATTCTGAAAATGGACTTTAATAAATATATTTTCTCTAGTCCATAAATATGTATTAAGGGTCTAAAAGAATATTTCCATAATTGCGCTTCGTAAAGCTACATTTTTAAAATGCTTGAAAATTAAAATTGCTCTTGCCTAACATTTTTTAAAAAAAAATAATAAGTAAAAATTACGAAAAAAAAAAACAGAAACGTACAGCACTATCTTCAAGAGAAAAAAAGTATAGACAGAACTAAAGGTGTATGGTAAAATTTATCGTGTTTCTGGCCCATTGTTATCAACAAAAAGTGAAGTAATTTTTAATGATGCACTTTGGCTATGTTTCTGGTTAAATTAATTATAAAATATGGTTTAATAATAAGTGATAAAATTAGGTTATGTGGTAAAATTTGGCAATTTTTCATGATAAGTTAGAGCATAACATATAATCCATTTATTTGATTAAATTTACTTTTCAGTTTTATATTTTAAACTAAATGTCTGTTATTAAGAACTATAATTTTTAAACTCGGAATTTCGTTACCATATTATTAAATTCTTTACAAAATAAATGGTTCAAATACCGTATATTTTCGATTTTTTTTATCAGTATTATGTTTTTTTTAAATCAGAAATATCACTGCTATTCTTCTCTGTGTAAGAAAATAATTACAAATTCTTTTATTTTTTTTAAAGTGATTTCTAAGCAAGGTACGTGAAAAATTCAAGGAAAGGTAACTTACTGTTCGTTTTATCGTTAATAAGAGGCGAAAATTGAGGCTAATATGAAAATAAAAATTTATGATAATGTGAGACGAAAATTAAAGATTATGTTGGGCAATCACCTGAAGATTTATTTTAAATCCTTGAGTTCTTCTTTTATGCCTTACTTGCATATTGAATCTCATATTATATACTTTTACCTTTAAACAGTTTCTCCTATAAGTCCCAAAAATTTAATAATATTTGACTTAGGCGGCATTAAACATATTTCAAGTTTTTTTTTTCTGATGTAAGCTTAAGCATTTCAAATTGCTTACCTCAGTAATTATTTAAGTGCTTTACAAGAAAAGTTTGGCCATTATAGCCTGGCTGGCAGGGAGCTGGACTCACATTTGTGAGAACGGAAGTTCGAATCCAGCCAGCTGAAGATTTGTGTAGTAAATGGTGACTGGTGCACTTTAAATCTGCCGGGTTATAAAGTCCTCTATGTTCCTATAACAAATTAATACTTCTGAAGGTACTGAATTGTACATTGATCGTTCGCTGGTTAAGGTCGAAATTACGATCTGTGCACGAATTCCGATAAATGTGTGGGTACACAATATAAACGGTTGTGACGGGGGGTTCATTTTTCTTTTATGGTAATTAGATTTCATACTGATTTGAAATAGTTTCCTCTATATTTTATAACCAGGAGTTCACTATATCCATTCCGCAAACAATTTTAACTAATGGTTCCAAACAAACTGCTTCTTTTTATTTTACATTATTTAAATAAATGACCAATAAAATGAAATGCGAAATTGACTGAAAAATAATACGTAGTAACAAAAAATGTGTTAACTTGCTTTTATTTCTTACTACTCTTCGTCTTGTGTGCAAAAAATAATAGATTAGTTATCTTTGCTGATGCAGGGAAAAATTTGTCCATGCATCTGTTTGTGTTGGCCTTTGTTTAGGGATGGAAAAGTGATATAAAAGAAGCAAACAAGAAAAAATTCTTTTGTCTAGATTCCACCCAATAGATGGTTTTAAAAATCATTACAAGTATTCATTTTGAAGTAGACATTTAAAAATTATTAAAAAAAAGAAATCAGTCTTAGACAGAAAAAAGTTCATAATATCCAACTGTCTCACTTTTTTAGTTCACTATATCCACAAAAAATAACATTATACTTGGCACGGGACTATGCCATATTATAAATATGCTACAGTTAAAGTATATAATGCAGTTATTTCATAGAATACCTAGTTATTCCATGAAATAACTGATCGTGACCGTTAAAGTGTGTAATATGTTATTAATTTGACACTTTAACTAGTTATTCTATGAAATAACTAGGTATTCTATAAATTAACTAATGAGAGACAGTTAAAGTGTAAAATAAACAATTGATCTAAAATGAAATAACTGGGTATTCTGTAAATAAACTAATGATTGACAATTAAAATGAAAGAGAAGCAATTTATCTAATTATGCTGCGTATAAATGGTATTTATGGAAACGTACCATAAAATCATTTGTTACAACAAGGATTACTAAAATGACACTTGGAATTACAAAGAACATTATTTCTAAAAAAAAACATTCTTTGTTGACACACTGGGTTTTACACGAACATTTTTTAAATCCCTGTATAGATTTTAAATCCCTTAATAGATTATTTTACACTTAAACGGGCTGCAGATCGTTATTCTATGAAATAACTAGTTAAACCATGAAATACAAGAGAGTTTTACACTTTAACGGACACGATCAGTTATTTCATGGAATAACTAGGTATTCTATAAAATAAC